CTTATAATGTTTCTTCTTTGCCTATATTATTTCTTAAAAATAACATAGCTCTCATTACTTGTTACTAGCTTGATCTCTATTTTTTATTATTAATTTCTCTCATACCTAGAGCATTGCATATTCATCAAACATTGCATTTCTCTTGATCATGAATTTGGGTAACTGAATATCGTCACACTACAACTAATATGTATTCATACCCTATGATTACACATTTTTGTGAAAATATATTTCTATACCTTTGGCTTTAACTTATCACCTATAATATGAACAAAGGTAGAAAAATAAAAAAAATTGAGGTGAAAATAATCAGAAGAAGAATCAAACTATACTTTGAGAGTTTTCAACTTGAAGATTATAGGTGGAGATACTATTCACCAAATAACATGCCATGTTGACAGATTTGATATAAAAATCCTTCGATAGGCTTGCCTAATATATCCTACTTGCATATTCAAAGAGTGTCATATTTATTTATTATGTAACATCATTCTATTGAAGTTTTTTTGATGCAATGCGATTGAATGATGAATTTATTATTATAGAACTCATTGAATGTAGTTGAGAAAAATTTAATACCAATTTTGGTACAAAAATAATATAATTTGCTTGCTAGTATGTTGTTCAATCAACTTCTTCCCATGTTTGAATGAGATAAATAGTTAATTCTTCTTATTTATAAATTAGACTTAAAAAAAGTCAATAATGAAAGTTAACAAAAAGCATGCACTGTACTTTGAGGTAAGTGAAGTAGAACCCCAAAGTAAAAGTAAATATAATCAATAGTGTCATTGGTCCTATAATTGGAAATACTGAATTTCACCATACATTATTAAATAAACACACAATACTAACAACAATATAATTAGCAGGTAAACCATACTTGTTCCTATACATCATCCATTTTTCATTTATATGAACCAACTACATGTACTATAATTGAGTAAAATCTTCTAAATCTTATGTTATATTGACACTATCTATAACTATGATATCAAATAAATGATAAAGACTATCAGTCAATTTTACATTCATCATCAAAACATCTCTACAAACTCATAGTATATAATTATTTAATGAATAATGATATTAGAGTTTATTTAAAGCACCTAAGAAAATTAGGTTCTTCTTTAGTTCTAAAACATGTTGTATTTCTAAAGTTTTGATGATGTCATCAAACATTGCAATTCAAATTTTACCAACTGTTGTGATATTAATATTGATGTCATCACCTAATGTCACAATATTATGTTACTAGTTTGTAAATAAAAAAACAACTTTTGTGAAGAGCACAACATGTATCAATAATTCAATAATGTTGTAGTAATATAATCTTGAATAATATTAACTATGTTAGAAGAAGGTTCATCTTGAACATTTCTTTTTCTTGACATATCATTTTTAGTTGTATTCATAGTTTTTGTTGACTTGGACTTTGACTTTAACTTGTCCTTTCAACCAGACTCTTTTTTTCTCTATTCTTCTTGTGACAATCAACTTGTCCATCCAATCTTCACTATGAGCCTCAAATACTCTCTTATTTAACTCATTAGAGTTTAATAAAATCTTGACATTTTTAACTAAGATACCATCTCTTTTATACAGTAGAGTATCCACAAAATGCTCTAATGGAACAAATAAAGAACATAAGAGTATAAGAACTTGGTCTTCATCATCAATTTTAATATTGATATTTTTTAAATCCATAACAATATATGTAAACTCATTTAGATAATCAGCAATGTGCATATTGTTTCTCATGAGTAGAATATATAATCAATGTTTTAAGAGCAAATGACTTGTGAGTGACTTTGTCATGTACCTTGACTCGAGCTTGAGCAAAAGTTTCATTGAAGTATCTTCATTTTTAACCTCTTGCATCACATTATCTACTAAGCTTAGACTGATTGTGACAAAAGTATGCTCTATATACTTTTCTTTCTCTTTCTTTTTATTCACTAGAACATTTTTTCCTTTAATTGTCTTGTTTAGTCTCTATTATACTAATAAGATTGTATTTTCACCTATCACATATTTTGAAGCAGTTTGTATTTTCATACATTTGAATATCAAACTTTATGAATGATCTTAACTTCAATGTCAACAACAATAAATATGGATTAAATCAAAAATTAAGACCATAAATTTACTAAAACATTAGTTTACTAAGACTTACAAAGTAATACTTATACAATCTGTAAAATGTGAAGTAGGAAAAAGAAAAATGATCAAATCACACTAGGATCATTAATACAATAAATTTTATGTAGTTTGGAATTAGGTCTCCTACTTCCATAAACATCAATGCCGTTCAAATTGAATGAAAAAATATTATAGGACAACTCTTACTAAGAACTTAAATAATAAATCACTTCAAAACACTCACCTAACTCAACGATAGATTTTTCTTAAAAATCATTCTAAAATCTCTCTACTATTAAATGTTTGACATGAGGAGAGGGACACTCTAGTCACTCTAACCACCTTTTTTTGGGGGGACTTTGTATTTGAGCCAAACTTTCTAGAGGTCTCATCTTCAGTAGTTCACACACCTAGTACATCAGCCTTGACATCACATCACTAAGGTGCCTAGTGGTACTTGGTTGAAAGTGTGTGTCTTGTGGCACTTGATTAAAAGTTGGTGTCTCACAGCACTTTGATTTGGAGCAGTTGCTTTGTGGCATGGTTAAGAGTTACATGCATCGTGGTATGAGCTGGTGTGGTGTCTCTCAATATATTGGTTGAAGTTGACTACCTCATTTTATGAAGTGGTACATTACCTCGCAGCTTGTTGGTAGAGAGGTGACTCATGTCACATTGTTCGAAGTTGGGTGTCACATGATACTCGAGTGAGAGTTGGGGAGGTCAAACATCAAGCTGACTTTTTCATGAGAGTAGGTCATACATGACTACAAGAGCTCTATTCTTGTAATGATTGGTGTAAGGATACATCATGGAATGGTATTGATGAGTGATAATGGTATTGTTTTCTATTTTTCCTCACATGGCACGTGAACCAGGTCAAAGATAAGAGATGGTAAGTGGGTGAGCCATCACAGAGGAAATTGAAAAACTACAAGATGAGTGACCAATGAGTGAAAAAAAATAAAATGTCTTTACCATTATACCCTCTCTAGCCACTTTATAGACATGTAAATACTTTATTATGGCACAGAAAAAAATTAATTCATCTGTCAATGATAAGTCTTCATTATCATGAGTTAATAATTAATCAATAATATAGTCTTAGTCTTAAATCATGATAAATAGACTTATATTTGTGTTAAAGTGTGAAAAGTGGTTTTCAATTGATTAACATGAATTTTTAAATAATTATGTGATTTTATATAAATTTATATGATTTTTACAATCTTACTTTTGAGATAAATGAAGAAAAATAAAAAATAAAAATATATAGCAAAATGGAGGGGACTCGCCGGCCAGCCAAGCCTGCAAGTGAGTTGGAAGTGCAGTCAAGGAGGAGCCACGAATAAGGGCTCGAGCAACTAGGATCAATAGGGGCACGTGTGCGCCACTCTCTTTCCACGTCACTGGTGCCCAGCTAGTGGTCGTACATGCACGAGAAAGGGACTTGATTGTAAATATAATATTATTATATATTCACCAGAAACTTCGGCACACAAGTGATGTGGGACTAAACTCATGTCACACCTTCCCCAAAAAGGGCGAGTAACTGACACGGGTTTGAATCCTCCTAGAGCCAAAACTCATATTTTTTATCTGATTATCGCGACTTTTCTAGAGATCACCAATGAAGGATTAAGTCACTAGAATCACTAGATCATTGACGAAAATCTTATCAACATGATTCGCGGAGCACTGTTACTAAAATTACTGAACGATTCGCAATTAAAGGATCGTGAATCCATCGAGTAAAGCATCTTTGATTGATCAACGAACAAGTCGTCGTCGGGAAGAGGATGATTCGTTGGAAGATAAGTCATCACCTCTTGAGAGCGTATTGGATGCGATGAAGAGCTTCCTTTTGGTGTGTGGACCTAAAGATGAAGCTCTTTGACACGCGCCCCACCTCTATCTAGCTCCTCTTCATCAGGTGATAGCTGTCGGAGAGCTGCAAAGTTGCCATTTTTTTTCTCTGCCGAGTGACAACTGCTAGAGATGATTCGACAACCCATTTCATTGATCTCTAGAGTTTGCAAAGAGATCTAGAGATTGCTCATGTCATCTTTGTCTAAGGAGAGCCTTCGAGGTCGTGGACACTACACGACAATCCTTCTAAATGCTCAAGATTTTAGTGCATCGTCGACACATTATCGCCGCGACATTAGAACTCTATTTTTCTACTTTCAACTTACTTTTCATTTCATTTAGTTATAATTTATGTGATTTAAATTTATCAAGATATACTTCATTCAATTATAATTCTTTTGACTTTTACATATCTTAATTTGATCAATTAAATCATTTGTAATCACTTACGTAAGAATTGCTGAGTGAAACTCTATTTCTACTCGATTCATGTTTGTTGGGTGCTGATGTCATCTTGATGTTCACACCTTTATTTCTCTTTTTTGTGAATTTTAAATATATTTTATTTTCATTTCTTAATATAAAATTTATAGAAAATATTACTCTTTGAAAAAAATTCTAAATAATTACCCAATATTATATTACATCCCTGTGTGATCGACTTGGAAAATTATCATTATTTTTGAAATTTTTATTGAATTATAATTGATATATTTGTTCAGAAATACTTCTAAATATCTAAAAATTCATATTTTCTAGTTTTATAAATTTTAAATTTGCGTGATTTACTATACAACGACTGTCAGACATGCGCGTATTTCAATTTTTAAACTTAAAAGTCAGAAAAAGTTAAAAGTCTATTAACTCCAGGACAAACAAGAACACGGATCCCGATTGGTATCCTTTTTCGGGCCGGAACGATCGGCCGCGAAGACGGCTGTTGGTGGTGGTGGTAGCTACTGCAGCTCCAGGATCTGCTGGCAGCGACCATGGCGATTGAGGGGGAAGATGATCAGAGGGCGAAGCCCTTTCTACCGCCCGGCGATGACGAGGAGGGGAAAAGCTCCAGGGGGCTGATGGCGAGAGTGTGGGAGGAGGAGAAGGAGCTCTGGGTCGTGGCTGGACCGGCCATCTTCACGAGGTTCTCCACATTCGGCGTTTCCATCATCAGCCAGGCCTTCATGGGCCACATTGGCTCTACCGAGCTCGCGGCCTACGCCCTCGTCTTCACCGTCGTCGTCCGCTTCGCCAACGGTATCCTGGTGATCCCCTTTCCTGGCCAAATCTTCCTCCTCCCCGCCTCTGAAACGATGGTGTTCCTCGTCGCGTTGAGGAATTCGGGGGAATTACGCCGGCGACGTCGTCGTCCTTTCGACGATTTTCATGGGTTAACGGTCGCCCACTTCTCTTCCGCAGCTGGGCATGGCGAGCGCGCTGGAAACGCTCTGCGGGCAGTCGTTCGGCGCGGGGCAGAATCACATGCTGGGCATCTACCTGCAGAGGTCATGGCTTGTGCTGCTGCCGTTTACGGCGGCGCTTCTCCCGCTCTTCCTCTTCACGACGCCCGTCCTGCGGCTTCTGGGCCAAGACGAGTCGGTGGCTCTCATGGCGGGGAAGATCTCGGTCTGGTCCATACCGGCGGTCTTCTCCTACAGCCTTTCCTTCACTCTCCAGATGTACCTCCAGGCCCAGAGCAAAAACCGGGTCATCACGTACTACGCCGCGCTGTCCCTCTCCCTACACGTCCTGCTCTCGTGGTTCCTGACGGCGATGCTCGGCATGGGGGTCGCCGGCGTGATGGGCTCGACGATCATCGCCCTCTGGATTCCTGTCGTCGGCCAGCTGGTGTTCGTGGTGTGCGGAGGGTGCCCTGAAACATGGAACGGACTCTCCTGCGAAGCCTTCAAGGACCTGTGGGGCGTCGTCAAGCTCTCCTTCTCATCCGGTATCATGCTGTGGTAACAGCTCTCATCTCTTTCTTGCTCTCTCTCTCTCTCTCTCTCTCTCCATATTTCTTGCTTTCAAAGTGCAATCTCAGCACAAGCCACCGATAACGAGATTAATTTTCCACAGTTTGGAGATCTGGTACAACACCATCTTGGTCTTGTTAACGGGCCACATGGATGACGCCGAGATCTCCATGACGCCCTCTCCATCTGGCATGCCCCTCATCGTGATAGAGGAATAAATAGACCGAATTTAATATCTATTTCTTATTTATTTCTCTTTTTCTCTCTATATTTAATTCCCGTGAGATCGATGCCGTGTTCATTCATCAGAAGTAAATGCGCTCCTGTTCCGAGTGGGGACAATTCAGAACCACGGAGAGCCGAAATCTGTCTTCATCTTAAATCTCGTACTCATTTTCTACCGTCTTTATTTTCTACTCGAATAATTCTTATAATAAGCCTATTTCGAGGACTCTTTTTCCAACGTTCCTAACTCGGATCTCATTGCATACATGATTATTTTTAGATTATCATGTTGCCGACTCAGAAAATTCACCATTTGATAACCTTTTCTTTCATCGGTGATAACAGTCTGTGAGCTTCTGACCCAAAACCTTGGTTTTAGTGTCTCCAAGGAGAATATTTTAATATGCATATATCCGTACCCCTTGTTACGGTTATTGAGTCTCATGCCCCTCTTACTTTACCCATCTCATCTATCCTGCGTAAATCTCCCAGTTTCACCTAAGTAAAATCACGAACATTGTTGTGATGATATATCCCCCCCTCCCCCCCTAATAAATTAATTGTCAAGTATTTCACCGCTCCTACCTACTTATTGTATCAATCGATGAGTTGCATTCCCTGGTGGAGTAGGCAGATCATAAAACTACTTGCCGGCCTAGAATTTCGAATGCGGAAACTTAGCATCTAATACAAAATCTAACATTGAGAACGTGTTTCAATAGCTGTCTTCATTGAAAAGAGTTTTCTCTATCCCTCGGTAGATTTCTGCTTAGTCCCTTGAAACAGCAAACAAAAATATTGAACCTTGGTTAAGAAAAAATGAATTAACCCAAATAAATTTCGGAAACCTTTTTGAAAACTTAATCCTAAATGTAAGTTCATATAGTCTGCTAGATTTCTTTGTGGCCTGACAAAAACACTAGTTAAGATGTTCCATGAAGACAAGAACCAAAGACCCCAACCATAGGACTAAATTTAATGGAAACTATGGATTATATATAATTCACGGGTGAGGTGTCATGGCATGCCAAGTCACTAGGTAATAATATTGAAAAACAGGGAGTAGATTTTTTAAATACATATTCTCATGCTATGAAATTGTTTTCTAAAAGTGTTCGTATCGCCTATGGATGCATATATAATCCTGAAATCCATAAAAAATGTCGCAAAAACTGCACCAAAGAGGTGGCTAATTAGTTAAGAAAAAATGGCTAGAAATCTCTACAGGACCCACTTGTACAGCGTGCTCATGTTCGAACATCTTCGCTATGCTTGGGTTACTTAACTGTGTTTTCAATAAAATTACAGAAATATTTTCGCAAACACGATTCACTCCGTCTCTTCTTGCAGCCTCAACATTAACGGCTGGGAGATGATGATAGCCTTGGGGTTCCTCGCAGCAATAGGGTATCTTCTCCTCCACAACGATGAATCAGGATTCCCTGAACCAGGTTGATTACCCGCCTCACATAACCGTCTCCGTCCTCCCTCTCGCAGCGTACGAGTGGCCAACGAGTTAGGAGCTGGGAACGCGGACAAGGCCAAGTTCTCCATCCTCATCTGCGTCGCCACCTCATCCGCCATTGGATTCACACTCTTCCTGATATTCCTCTTCCTCCGCGGCCGCATCTCCTACATTTTCTCAACCAGCTCCCTCGTCGCCGGAGCCGTCGCCAATCTGTCTCCTCTCCTGGCCTTCTCCATTCTCTTGAACAGCGTCCAGCCGGTCCTCTCCGGTGATCTCCGAGACCTTCTCACCAACATCTTAAAGACGAGCGTGTTCAGCTCACTGCTCGTCCTGTACCGTCGTTGCAGGAGTTGCCATTGGTGCAGGATGGCAGAGCACGGTCGCCTACGTCAACATCGCCTGCTACTATCTCGTTGGGATCCCTCTCGGAGTCGTTCTCGCTTACGTGATTGGTTTAGGCGTCAAGGTTTGACCGTCTCCGCATCCACTGACCTAGATTTCTGACCTTTTACAGGCTGCTCTGACTTGTTGACCACAGGGTGTCTGGTTAGGAATGATACTCGGAATAGCTGTTCAAACTCTCGTTCTCACGTACATTACCTGTAGAACAGATTGGGATCACCAGGTAATCTCAAAAATTGGAAAATATTTATTTTTCCCTGAGATTTTCAATGGGTCAGTGCAGCCTGCAATGCAGCGCCATTAATTTTCTCAATTAAGGGCATTTTTTTTTCTAGAATTATCTCTGGCCCTCGGATGAATCCCGTCTCCCGTTTATGTTGATGCTTGTGCGTTCTTTAATCCTGGCAGGTCTTTGCTGCTCGATCGCGGTTAAAGAGGTGGTTAGTGTCGAAACCAGACAATGAAGATCCACCAAATGAGGCCTGAAATTACTTACCCTTAGAAAAAAAAAAAAAAAAGGAGTACTTGTAAGTCTGAAGATTCTCCAGAGAAATTATCACGTAAATCTTCAGTTCGAAGGAAAAATTCGTTGGAAATTTTGTGGTGTTTTCTCGGCAGGTTGATAGGCGGACAGAAAATATAGTGAAGTATTTATGTTTTTAATTCTAATTAATTCGAATATATCTGGTGGTATTTTTGGCTTCACTCCACTCATATGCCTCTCTCTCTCTCTCTCTCTCTCTCTCTCTCTCTATCTTGTTAGAAAAGCAGCCAGAGAGAGAGAAAGATAGAACTGTCTGTCTAATAGAGTTCCTTATATCAGCGTTGGTCATAATGCATATGATATAAAGGGAAATTTAGTCTATTTCAAGAAATATTAAAAAATAGCATGATTAATTTCACTGAGTGAAAGTTCATTAGGGGCTCATCCATAAAAAGCCTAAGACCAAATATGCCTTGAATTTTAATACAACCAATTCATTCATTATAAAAAAAAGGCGTATGGTAATGTTTTTGGGCCGGCCCATGTGAGACGAGTTCGTTCGGAGCTGCTTCGTCGCGCTGCCGATCGCGACCTTTCCAATCCCGCGTCTATAAAGATGAACGGAAGGCTGCTTTCCTGCAGGTTCTCATTGTCCGCTCCCATTTCTCTCTCTCACTAGCGTCTGCTGCATCGTCAGAGAGCGAGTCCACACAAAAGTTTCCTCCATTTCGCTTGTAGGTTGCCTCTCGGATCCTTGATCTGTCATTTACGATGTCTCTTTGCGTGTGCGGCTGCGGTGTGACGAAGAATTTCTTACTCTGGCGCAGATCTTGAGCTTTTGTGGTTCCTGTTGGCTTTTTTCATTTCTTTTTTTCATTTTCAGTTTGGTTCTAATCTTTGCCTCCGGTTTGCGTTGCCGTTTTGGCGTCCTGTTTTCTCCCTTGAACCGGATCTCAGATTATTTCTTCATTAGTGCTATTATCGTTTTCCATCTGAATGGTGGCGGTGATGTCTCTCTGTTTTACAGATCGTGGTGAGGGAAAATGGGGCTTACGTTCACGAAGCTCTTCAGCCGGCTCTTTGCCAAGAAGGAGATGAGGATTCTGATGGTTGGTCTTGACGCCGCCGGTAAGACGACCATCCTCTACAAACTCAAGCTTGGCGAAATCGTCACCACCATCCCTACCATCGGTCAGATCTCTCTTCACTCTGCTTTTTGGTACTTTTGACTTCCGGTATCTGTTATTTTGTTTCCCGTCAAATGATGGAAACCGTATTTGTCTGAGATGCTACGTTGGAGATCTAGCCTGAATCTGATGTCTCGTTGCGTTCCCTTGTCCTGTATTCCTCTGACACGGTTCTGCTACTGTTATATCTTGGTTTCTGTTCATTTTGGGAACTGTATCGTATTTTTCTTGGAGTTTAGTGATTTCCATGTGTGTTCTTAACTTACGGATCTAATTTTTGTTTTTACACCATCTTAATATTCCGGTGTATGCCTGATGTTGCGTTTTGCATGAGTAGGAATGACGTTTATGGATAGCTAATGGCTTGTGATGTTGTACTCGTTCGTGATATTGTGGACGTTTTGATCACAAATCCTTCTGTTAAGAAAAAAAGATAAAAAAACATGAGAATGATATGATCCCCTCGATCCGATTATATACAGGAAGATGGTACCCTCGTTGGTATCAGACACATCCTCTACTTCAATTCTTTTTATGGAAACGATGTTAAAAAAACGTACAAAAATATAGTCCCTACTTATATTTATATTTTACTAAAAATGAAAAATGGACTGCGTCGTTTGGATTCGTCCTCTGTTAAATTTCCAAACACGTAAAGACTCGCCAAAATAAGGGAAACATTGATTTTTTTACAACTTTGCTCCAAAGGAATATTATAGATGCTCTGAACGTATCTTAAACAAAAAAAATTGAGAGCAGCACGAGGGAAAAATATGGCCAATGGTTGAAAAAAACTTGAACTTGATATAAACTCTGCAGGGATACTTATGATTGTCAAGTAGCTATTAAAAAAAAGGAAAAGTAAGAAATTATAATACAATTGGTTTTTCTTTTCTTGGCCTACACATTCAAAGGAGAAGGATAGTTGTGGAAGATTTTTGACATTTCATTCTATTAACAATCTCATCCTTGGAGCATGATTTGTACTCTAGTTTTGTATAGAATGACATCATTGTCAATATGTGCGTTAATTTGGTACTTGCTGACAATTTATTGTAGGCCCTATTGAGATTTTGACAAAATTCTGTGGTTTGGAGACAGTAACTAGTGCCGAAGATAACTCTTGATTGAGAACCCGCAACCTCTCCAAGTCTTATTAAATCTCCTGCCCTAAACATTATTGTCTTTACTGATTTGTTGCTAAATGTTTCATTTTAGGACACATCTTTGTTGTTTTATATCAAGATTTTATGATGCGGGGTAGATATTTTCCAAGAATTTTCTAAAACCACCCACGATCTTTGATCTGGTGTTTTCATATTTTCTACTGTAGGTTTTAACGTAGAGACTGTGGAGTATAAGAACATTAGCTTCACTGTATGGGATGTTGGTGGTCAGGACAAGGTACGTTCTTTATTTATGCTGAATAAGATAGCCTTTGCATTTATCCGATCAACATCTATGTTCAATGAAGTACTCATTTCGTTATATTTCTGGAAAGGGTCCGTGAAGTACTCTATTTAGATTTGTAATTTTATATTCATTAACGAATCGGCCAGACATTTTTGCTTCCACGAATATCTCAGATTTCCCCATGAAATCAGCACATGGTACTCCTTTCTAATGCTGCTGATGGCGACCTTGGCCCTTAAACAGATCAGGCCACTCTGGAGGCACTATTTCCAAAATACACAAGGCCTTATTTTTGTCGTGGACAGCAATGATAGGGATCGTGTGGTTGAGGCAAAGGATGAACTCCATCGGATGCTGAATGAGGTAAATACATCTCCCTGCGGATGCCTGAGCTCTCTTTCCTCGTGATAAAAATGATTTGGAAATCACCATTCAGGATCTTGTAGAAATGCTCAATCATATCGAATATAGTGTGATTGGGATGCTTACCGTCAATGAGAAATAAATGGTTTAACTTGTGAATAATAAACAATAATTAGGTATCCATGAATTTCCATGTTATTTAAGGTGTAACCTTAAAACAGCGGATGTCTCCTAAAGTTTCGGAATGAAAGCTTTCTGAAAGGTTATTTGACCATGCAGGATGAGTTACGAGATGCTGTTTTGCTCGTATTTGCTAACAAGCAAGATCTTCCCAACGCAATGAATGCTGCTGAAATCACGGACAAGCTTGGTCTGCACTCCCTACGACAGCGGCACTGGTGAGGAGATACTTACCCTTTCGCTTGACCTTTACTCTAAGAGGGCATTTACAGACGGCAGGATCGGTGAATGGTTGTGCTAATTTTATTCCTTAAAATGTGTAACAATTATATACCGTAGGCTAGGGCTTGAAGCTACAGTGCTGTGGCTTCTGAAATATTTTGAATACATCAGTCCAAAAATGGTCTCTTCCAATTAAGATATTCTGGGTGGCCTCTAGGGTTACCTCACCTGCCTCATCCTCCCCCCAATCAGATTCACACCATCTTACTCGAAAGAGACATCCAACCATTGGTCCGTTGTTTTTCATTATCTCTAGGGAGATCCACGATAAGCCCACTAAGTGAGGGAGAGCTTAGAGTTGAGGGATGCTATCGGTAGTGGGGAACTAATTATTTTTGTCATCCTTCCTGCAGGTACATCCAGAGCACCTGCGCCACCTCCGGCGAGGGGCTCTACGAGGGTCTGGACTGGCTCTCCAGCAACATCGCCAGCAAGGTATCGTGTAAAGCTTTCCCTCCTCTCCGTGTAAGAGCCTTCGTTGACGTGGTATCGTCGCTTCCAGGGCTGAAATCTTCGAGCTGTAGGTGGAGCCCGGATCGCTCCTATGGGACTCTCCCGTATTTCTTTGGTATCGATTTATTTGTCCCTTCTGTTCCTCTACAGAACCGAAAACATGTCTGTAATCTTTTATGCTACGTTGACTCCCTCGTTGTTATGGAACCGCCGCAGTATTCAAGAAAGTCAGCTACTATGATTTCTTTCCATCCCACCACGATTGTCAACGCAAATTCGGATTATCTGGTGCTTTACACGTGTACAAAAAATGTGCGTTGTCCCCCCCTCCAGGAAGGTCAACCAAACCTCTCCAGTGTATCCGTCAGGCAGTGGCATCCCTAACGTCGTCGTCGTCGCCGTCGTCTTCATCGTCTACTGTCGCAGATATCAACGAGGCGGAGAGGATCTTCCCGGCGTGCTCCAGTCTCATAAGAATAACGCCCCTGAGAAATACCACAAGTCATTGTGAAACGCGACTGCACCAAACATTACCACAGAAGAATAGACGCATCGCTCCAGTCTCATAAGAATAATCGCAAGTACACCAGTCGAAAAAAACTACAGAAGGAGAATTACGGATGAGAAGTAAACAGACATTACCTTGCGAAACGCGACTGGATGGAAATATCTCGGACTTTGATTCGGTTAATCGTCCCACTTTGGCTAACTAGGACGACTTGTTCGGCGCTTTCACCATCATCCTCTGGGAAGTCACCCATCATTGTGAGCCGCCAGACGTAGACGGGGAACGTTGGGAAAAAAACAGACATAAAAGAACTTGCACCCACCTGACAGAGAGAATCCGACGACGAACACGGCAGCGAGAGAATGGTCCGTGGGAAGCTGCATTTTGGGAGGGAGCAACTTAGTATCATCATGACATCTTTCTACAATAGTTTTCCACTGAGCGTGCGTGCACAAGCAAAATTAGAAAGAAAAGTAATAAGGAAAAAAAAAGAAGGTATGATCACCTTGTACCCTTTGGACCCCCTTCTATTAAAATTTGACATGCGAAAGCTATTCAGAGGGACACGCTTCCCGTTACCACTTTCAGACACAAAAAGAAGCCATGGGGGTCCAAGATCTTTTGCCCTGTAAAAGATTAAGAAACTGTAGATCAGGGATAGGAGAACCCTTGCGAATATCTTTACCACAGAAAAAAAAGGACTTCAAAGGATGATATCCCAGAGCTCAATGATGGAGAGCCATACGAAAAAACAATTACAAACAACATATGGATGAAATTGCAGCTCACTGGGTTCCATGTTGATCCCTGATCCTCTCTAGGTCCCTGCGCATGGCTGCAGGAACTATGTCCATGGATGCCATCTTATCACCCTCCCTCAGTTTCATGGACATAACACCCCTGGTGGTTCTTCCAATCGCTCGAAGCTAGGATCAATCACAATGAGAAACGTCAAATCATTGAAGATCTCGCAGCACACGTCAAAATAAGAAAGAGCAAAATGCAAATACTGTAATACTGTCGAAGATTAAGAGAGAAACATTAACGAATAAAAAGACGCACAACATCTGGTTTTTCTTGGATTATGTATCTCAACCAGTACGCCAGAGGTTTCCAACACTACAACCTGTGCTCTTATCCATCCCAGTAGACCCTATTTATTTTAAGGCTATAAAATCTACCACTACTACATCCCGCCAAATGTTAAGCACCCTGCTTCAGATGACCAGCCTTTAAAAAATCGATCAATGTTCGGGATAATAGAGAATCGCAGGTCCACGAGTTAGAAGGCATCACAGAGATATTATTCTGTCAGCCCGATTTGTGTTCCACGACTGAACCACCAAATTGGCTCTAAAGTCCTTCTCATGGTAAAAATCTACCAAGCTTAGGCATAGAGAAAATCTTGATTTATCGTAAGGCAGGCATACATATTTGACCAGAACAAGCCATCAAAACATTCTGCTAATTCTCTGGGAAATCTACAGAATGTGTAGTTCAAGACAGCAATGGAAAGTTCTAGACGATTGAGCAAGCACAGGAATAAAATAATAAATTTCAACGAATCTAGTTTCCTCCAGGTTTTAAAAGAGAGTTGATATGAGGAAACAGGATGCCTCTCTCATATTCCATTGTCAAACTAACGCACATATCTTCACAAAGGTTGTCATTACCCTGTTACAGGAGTTAACAATAACCATCCCATTCTGAGAAGCAATAGCAATAAGATCATCATCAGCACAACGGCGAACCCATTTTAGCTCATCGCCAGGAACCTGCAAAAGAAACCAGAAATTAAAATGACTCTAGTATCCAGCATGAAACATAAGTAACGGAATCTACAAATCGAAGCGGATAGAGCTCTGAACCAGCTGTATTGCAATAATCCCTGTGGATCGAATAGCTGAGAAGACGTTGAGAGAAACTTTCTTGATATATCCATTCACAGTTAACATCACTAGATATTGGTCTTCAATGAATTCGCTGACAGGGATGATTGAGGTTATCCTCTCTCCCTCGGACAATGATAAAAGCTGGAGGCCATGAGAAAGAAAAAGGAAAAATATAAGCTACAAATTGCAAATCGAAATAAATAATCCATTTTGAAGATCAGCGCACCTGGATTAATGGCATTCCAGCAGCACTGCGGGTGCATTCAGGTATCCGAAATGCACGAGCTGAGTACACTATTCCCCTATCACTGTGGTATATATCTATAGTTAAGCTATTGACACAATGAATATTATTATAAAAAACAAACAAGGATCAGGCAACCAAACAACATCCAGATAAATTTCAATATCTTTCTGCAATAAATTTTCGAAAGTAATAACCTTAAGTTAGAACAATCTCATGTTTTAGGTCTCCGACTCCAACAGGTCTAACCCTACTCTTTTCATGTCAACTATATATTTCTTATTTCAGGACATACTTTGCTTCATATTTCCTGGACCCACCTTTATCAAACGAAATAGTTTCTATAATGCAAGCTGTTGTCGTGAGGATTTTATAAATAAACCTTGTACTTTCATATTGGCAATTATGCCCTGAATACATGTAATCATGTACTCTCAAGAGTCTAGTATAAATACTGGACCCCATCCGTCCTGTAAAACAGATTCTAGTTTTTCATTCAATAAAGCTTTTTCTTCCTCTCCAAAGGTGTAGCGAACTCTCCAGCACACCAAATTGAGGATTACCATTCTACATGGTATCAGAGCCAAAGTGAGGGTTTCGAATCCCTCTTTCTTGACGATCTGGTTAGTTGTGAGGGAGGTACCACTGCTGTTGGTACCACATCTATCTGGCGAGTGACACACCATCTCTGCGGCCTCTTCATAGAGCAAATACAGGTGCGATCGCTCTAATTTGCTTCGGCACTTAGTGATTCTGCAATTACGCTCTTTGTACCGTTCTTTGAATATTTCCGTTCAAGATTTGGTCACGAAATCAGTTTTTTCGGGAAGTTCAAGATTTCGTCAAGATTTGAATATTTCTTGAAATGGAGGCTACAGGAGATGTTGTTACATCTTCTGGGGGTGATTAAATCTCCACAAGGGAGGTTAATCTTCTCCCTAGAGGCACAAGGTTATTGATAGAACTCCCTGCAATGCCTCTAGATTTTAAACTGACGGGATATAATCTGATACAATGGTCAGAGTATATACATGAACTATTAACTGAATGAGGCGTAGTACACCACTTGATAGAGGGGAAACCAGACCCAATGTCAAGAGAATTTCGAAGATGGAGAGAATAGAATGCCCTGATTAAAACTTGGCTTTAGGGAACCATGATTCCCCAAATCAGCTGTGATTTTTTCTTCTTAGCCACTGTCAAGGACTTGTGGGAGACGGTTCACACCAAATTTTCACAGAAAAACAATGAAGCTCACATATATGAACTTGAGACAAAGTCAATGTCAATGATGCAAGGGAGTAAAACAGTGATAGAATCTGCAGGAGATTCAAAGAATCTATGGGTGGAACTTGACTAGTATCTTAGTCTTGACACCGAAAAACCTGCTGAAATTATTGCATTACGAGATTTCATAGACAGAAGGAGAGTGTTTAAATTCTTGGCTGGTCTTAGCTCTCTGTTTGATCAGGTCAGGGAACAGATATTGAGCCGTGAGAAAAGAGTTGAGTTAGATGAAGCTATTTCGGACATCTTAAATGAGGAAAGTCGCAGGAAATTGATGATGTCAAGTTCAGAAGTAGATAATTCTGCATTTATGATGAAACAAGGTGACAATATGAAGAAGACGGCTGATCCGCCCAAATCATCTCAACAAGTGAAATTAAACATTCTTTTATGATTCTAACTGAAAAAAACATTCTTTTATGAATGTTAAACAGCAGAAATTAAGTGAAAAACCACAGCTACATATTTAGTGAAACTAGAACATACCTAAAGTATAGTATGTGATCATGGGCCTGACACACAAGAAAGTCGGACATTGAATCATTCAATCGCATTTTTCCCACAGATTTTCCAATAGTTCCACGATGTTGCAAGTTGAAATTATTTGGCTTCATGCGCTTAATGTAGCCTTTCTCACTGAGAGCCTAACAAAAGGAGTAATTAAACTCATGGTTAGGTATAAATCGTTCTGAAATAATGCAAACAAATACGTCAAGGTTAAACTTTGACTAAAAAGCGTTGACAAGAAAACACTAAAGAAAAGAGTCAGATCATGTTTGGTTCAGAAACGTGCTGTAGATCTTCATACCAGAAGCATTACTTCATTTGGGATCACATCTATATCTTCCAGTTGACTCCCATCCGAATCTTCTAATAAAGAGCGCCTTGGAGTCGCAAACTTATTCTTTATATCGACTGCTTCTTGTTCAATGACCTGAGGTAAAGTAAGTCTTCTTCAAGCGTTCCTTATATAACCAACTAGCATGACAAAATACAACTGCTAATGCTCATTTAAAGGATCAGATATCAGATATAATCATGGAGAAACTATCCCCGATTCAATCAGCATAATAACGTAAGACAGAGACACCAATAAACAGAAGCAAGCCAAATATTGTCGCTATATTTTACGATTAGTTTTAAAAAGCACTCAGTATAATACTGAAGAGACAGATGGACAGAGGGAAACCGCAAAACTACAATATGTAAAAAAAAAGAAGCTGGCAAACTATATGTTGAATAGTCTGGTTATTATAGTGAGTCCTGGAATGTCAACGTTTCTCTTCATAAGAAAATGTGACGGAGATTGGGTCCACTAGCAATTAAACCACAAGAAATGTGTCTTCTGGGAGGGCTATGGTATGAAAAAAATAAGAGATATATCTACTTAGACGAGATACAGTTAGCAAAAGAAGGCTAAAAATTGACGATCTAATAGTTTCTAGATCAGATAACTGCCTGGTAGGCTAGAGGAAGCATAATTATAGAATGTGGACCAGTGACAGAAATGACAAGGGACTGAGTTAGCCTGGAAAGCTAGTCCGACCGTCCTGACCCTGGATAACCGGCTTAGGAGTTGAAATCAAGCTGAGAAACAAAAATAGTCTCAGCCGCCGGTTATTCCACTTTTTCCTCCAAGATATGGGGGAGAAGTACAAGCCAGACGAAGATTTGAGGGAAACATCGCTTTCTAGAAACTTCCACACTTCCACATATCTACAGATTTAGCTTTGATGACGGCTCAGGCAAAACAGTATTATGAAATTTGATTAATCGCAAGGACAGAAGTGAATTTATACACTGCCTTTAATTTGGAGTTCGGTGGAAATTTCCTAGAGAAAGTCGAACTACACTGGGATTCAAATATGGGCACCAAAAATTATTTGTAGAATTCCTCTTGCACAATGGTCGGAAGGTAGATTGTAGAAAATTATGTTGGGCGGCATTGCACATGTTAATGAAAATATTCCTCTTCTGCCCATCCTCAAGTTTTATGTTGGAAAACGAACTGTAGATAATTATAATGCATGCTATACCTTCATGGTATCTACGGGTGAATCGACAGTGGAAACACAACAGAATAGACCTTTCTATATCAGAATTCTACAAAAGGGGAGGCTGCTTTCATATTGCCTGAGTTTAAGGAAGTCTTAAGGACTAAGAGTTTTCTCAGATGTTTCGATTCTTAGCTCGTCCTTTGTTGACACTCTGAGTGCCCTTGTATTGCCAATTGGTCTGCTTTCCACATAGTAAACCATGTCACATCATTGTATCGACATCGTCGACAGATCAGCACATATGCACAGCCCATGATTCTCAATCTGACTCCGGTTATAGAGACATGGCACACGGTCTACATTTGTTGAGCAGCCAGGGCATTACTATATATGGGAGAGTATGTGATTAGAAAGGAAAATAAATCTGATAGAAGACAGGCCTACTGACCGATCGCTGAATTTTAATAATGTTTAATAAATGAAAACTTTTCCCGCAGGTAAAATCACAAAGTCGGAAAATCCTTTCAATTGCAAAAAGGTTGCCAATGTTTGAAGACACCAGTTCCCTTGTTTCACAACTTAGCCAGTTATTGCTTTTACTCTCAGACATCCAGATTCCTTAAATACCCAAACCCAGAATTCATTTTGGCTTCCAGTAATCATGTTCTTTTTTAGCCATACAAATGACTTAATGACATAGAACTTTTCAGAAATCGGCTTCAACTTTAGATCAAAATAATTAACGCCAGAAGCTGAACTTCCTTAAGCTAAAACTTATTTAGGTCAAGTTATCCAATCCATAGAACCTCTTCCTTCCCTCCCAAAACCACCCTTAGGAAAAAAACGCAACCGTCACCCAAAAAAGGAAAAAGAGTCTCAATCAATAAAACATTTTGCCTCTGGCTCGGGGTTCAGGATGGTTAGGTCTGAGGAAGAGAAAGTTAGAGAGCGGCCTGCCATGCTGCCAGCATAATTGCCTGTGCTGTCCCCCATCAGCAGTAACACGGATATATATCTTGTAAAATAATCATTTTTTCATTCATATCTTCATTCCCCTATGCACTCCCTTCCCTGCCCTACAACCCTGACTCCTATCATCAGATTTTTTTCTTGTCCCACTTACTACTAGGTAGCAGGGGCATTAACAGATCACTATTCAGAGTCAAGACCAATCTTGATCAGCTTAGATCAGCTTAATTTTTTGAATCAAAGCTGCAAGGAACTACACGCCATTATAAGAAATCTACAATAAAGACGAAAACGGCAAGTAGTTCATTTGCATGCCGATTTCTTGACTAAAGGAAGGCTTTAATAATTAAAAGCATTGTCGGACCCATCTAGAGCATTGGTTGAAGAAACGCGAAATACTTATTAAAAGTGCATTTCCCGGATTCCATGACAACGTTTAGAATCACAAGAAAACTAGCTTTTCGACGGCAAAGAATGATTACCTGAAGCATATGCTTTTTGCTGGACAGGAGGTCATTCAATTTGTTTATTTGTTCTGTCAAAGATTGACCCTCTTCAATAAATTTATTTCTCTACAGCAATGCAAAACGATATTCTCAATCACAGTGACTGCAGATAAAAAAAGTTCTCCTACAAAAATGATCCACAGGTTTCAAAGCCTACCTCCAGGGAAGTCAGTTTTCTCAAGGTTATGTCCAGCAGGGCTTCAGCCTGCTTCTCCGATAACCCATACTCTTCATAAAATTAAAAATAAATACTATCTCAAAACCAATTTTAAACACATTAAAAGTCTTCTGAGAACATTTTAATGAGATTTTTTCAGGATTAAATTGAAAAGCCAATGAAACATAACATAGGAATACCACCATTCAAAAGATGATTCAGGTACTTGCAAAAATAATACCAGAATATTGAAATTAGAACATGATGAATGGAAAATGACATGGACTATCATCATTAGGAGAAAAAAACCAAACTTATAAAAAATAAGGAAAGATGAAATAAGCAAATATAGAAGCATAGACATTACCAACAATATAGATCAACATAGTCCTAAAGATGATTCCTATAAAAATCAGGGTTTGATTCGGACTTCATTGGAAAACACCTATAAACTATTTTTTCCTCTTCTCTACCATCAAATTTCCCACAGTTCAGGCAAGAGATACTAAAAGAGAAGGATTGTTAGCAAACAACTAAATCGATATGGTCTCTTGAGGGCTATCAGACATTTAATATGGTAGCACCTAAGGTTACAAAATCGGACACCCTCAGTTGACTTATAAACGCCCTCTGAAATGCATGCACTCTCCCAAAAATCCTTGAACGAGATTCTATGAAAAACGTATTGAAATGAGAAATAACTTTTCTTGCCTACAGGTAGCATACACTTAAAAGAAAGAGAAAACAACACCAACAACACCATTTTATTTGATCACAGACCCTCCTGATCTGAACAACTAGCAATCATGCTCAAGCATGGTTGACGTCATCATGCTCAAGCATCAACCCAAAAAAGGAATTAAATCAAAGCAACCATGTCTTGTACCATTCATTAAAGCAGCTGAGGCCATTGAATGACTTGACGTTTCTCTGATGATATGAATCACAGCATCCAAATTCTCAAGGCCGATGACTATACCCTGAAAAAAAAAAATACAAATAAGCATCAAAGTAGTTTTGTAAGGGCCACAAATATGTCATGACATACCTCAACAATGTGTTTGCGCTCCTGTGCCTGAGAAAGCTTATGTCTTGCTCGCCTCTCAATAACAGAGCACCTAAAATCGATGAAGGCCTAAAAAAATGGACAAAAAAAAAGTTAAAACACAGTTTCCAGATTCAAAAAGAAAAACTCCAAAGACATGCAAGAAGAAATGGGAATTGTGAGACAGGCGCAGCATAATCAATGTCGATCAGATGGTTGGAGTCGGAACCATTACTTTAGGCATGAACAGTTTAGTTATACCCACACATCAAGAAAAAAAATTCACAGCACAAAAGAAAGATGATAGTCACAGCCACATCTGCCCTTAGGTTCATTTTATTAATTTTGGAAATGGAATAAGTAAATATATCAGCAACGTAGTATTATAAGCTTTCGTTCGAGCCCATTATGAACTAACGATCAATAGTATGATTGACCTCTTTTAACAGACCGAATCGCGTAGGCCGTTACTAAAACAGTAGAAGTTCACCAAGGCTACGATTTCTGCAAAAAAAGGACCATGATGAACAAAACTAGACAGAAGGATGAATGCCTGCTGATCAAAGAATCATGTATACAGAACGTAATGGATTTGAATATCCACAATAAGTGCAACTCTTTTAGGCTTCAAAGACAGTGATCAAATAAAACCCAATAACAGGCTGAAATGAATACTACAGTTATGAACCAGGGGCGCGTCAATGGAGTGGGGGAAGTGCCAAGATATCAACCCAATCAGACAATGAAATCTAAGTCATACAATGAAAGCTGAATGTTTAGAATTTGATCCTAATCAGGTAGTTCACTAATTAGTTGATATTCCATTTGAGCCCCACAAAAATGGGTTTTGTTTGTGCCAGAGAACCAGTATGAAGATACTTGTTCACCCCACCATGTGAACTCCAAAGAAAGCCACCCAGATCTTTCAATTATTTTAGCTGAGAAACATTAATAATGAGCATTGTAAAAATTCTCAGAAGAGAGTAAATACTACATGGTCCTGATAAGGAAATGCCATAATGCAATTGAAAATGGATACGGATGGGAGACTAAATTTCTACAAAAGACTACAAGAACGGCGTAGAATTGCTCCCTAACTGCAGACCTTAAGTTGCAAAACGAAGAATTTAGTTTCCCACAAATTATTTGCATTGAACAGTTCTTGAGCTCGATCCAGCAGTGAACTAATGTGGTCATGCTTAAAATGCCATCCAAAATGATGATAGTAATGAATCAATCGCATCCAAAATGATGATTCTGGAACAGCTACAGTCTACAGTAAATGCTCATTGTTCTGCCCTAGACATTAAAAATTATTGAACTGACATAGTGTCAACAATTTTTTTCTTTAACTTTTCCATGATCTGCATTCAGGTAATGTTGGCCATCTCTGGGGACGCTAATACACAGAAGAATATGACAGATTCCTGGAAGATAATCAATATACAACTATTGGTGATGAGAAACGAGTTCAGAGTTCAGAAGGAATCTCTTATTCAAAGAGGTCACAATAGAAGATAGTGTGAAAAGTAAAAAACCTTGAAACTGATAATAAGGCCCCAATTAATGAGAGGTAAATACTAAGTTTGAACTTTTTACGAAGAAAGTGCACCCAAAGCTTAAAGGATTGGATAAAAGCAGTTACTAAGGAGGTGGGGGTAAATAACAGCCGAAAAAATAATGCACTTTCCCAACGTACTGAATTAGAGCCAACGAGTAAAGTAGGTTAATGATGAACCAAGTGCTCAAACCTCCAATAACTTCGATAAATTTGCAAAGGAGAAAAAAAAGACTATACATAACCAAGCTAAATAGTAAGAACTAAGTCAAGAAAGCAAAAGCATGACAACAGCCAGACCATTCGCTGTTTGTAATATAGGCATAAAAACAAGGCATGAAGATAACAATACACGAGAAACTGAATCTATGAGACATGAATTACCTCGAGCATTTCTTTTAAACCCATCAGCTTTGGCTGACCATCAAGAATGCTGCAAAAAACCAGAATTCAAAGTAAAAAGCAACAACAGGTGACAACACCAGATGAAATAATTGACGAACAGTACGTACGGATGAACCTCGTAATTTTTCATTACATCCGTTCAATGCTTTGATAACGATGCCACAATGCTTTTTATAAATATATTTCAACATTACTCTTTACACAGTAACTAGCACACTACACACTTCAGGAAATGAGATAAATTACTCTTTCTATATGCTCATGTCCCAAGTCATTCAATGCGTCCACTGTAGTATTGCAATTCTAACCAGAGCACAACACTGATCCTGAGTCATATGATCCTTTTCATAGTTGGACAAGTGTTATACTAACGATAATTATGGGTACATCTGGAGGGATTTTTGTTGAAGATTTATTTCCTCATAATCCATGCGAGACACTGTGCTCACTAAAATAAGAAACAAATCATTACCGTCATGGATATGAAAACCATTAGACATGCATAAAATTTAAACGAACGAAGGATCATATACTATTTGATCATGAATCGGTAGTCCATGTACAGACAAGATAAGCAGTCACAGACAATCAATCAGAAACACAGAATAAGAACATTAAAAATACGATGACGCTTTTGGGAACGAAATAAAATGTGCATCTACGAAGACCAGCACGAATGTGGAAAACTAGGTTACTGGTTGATGCATAATTCAGCAGGTAACATAAAGAAAAGAAGGATCCAATCACTAAGACATAAATCTCATATACTATTGCAACACTCACCAGACCATATTGCAGCTAAAACTTGATTGGAGAGATGTAAGTCGGAAAAGATTATTCAGAATTATGGAGGGATCTGCTCCTCTTTTCAGCTGCAAGAAAAAGGCTATAAGCAAGCAATATCAAACAATAAAGAATGACACGTCCTTGAATATTTTAGTTAATGACCCAATAGTGTCAGAACCTCATATCAAGTGCCAGCCCCACATTACTAAACAATTATATACAATGATCCAGTGGTTATAATGACTCTGGAGATGTTGACTATGTACAAAGAGCCATTTCTGAACTTTAGTTTCACCAATAAGATGTCTGAACCATTACAAAGAAAGTAGAGAATTCGAAACATCATATATTGGCACAATTCTCAAAGCATTAGGCTCTGCGGCATGTTATCTGAAACGATCACAGGAATCATAATTGAAAAAAGACACAAGGCGCACCTCAATTACTATGCGCATCCCTGAACGATCACTTTCATCACGAATGTCACTAATTCCTTCTAATGTCTGCAATAGTAATGGAAAATAATTATATTCCTTGGGATCAGAAAAAAGCAAATTCAACAGTTCATGAACTGCAACAGAAGTTATTCTTTGAGATCAGAAGGGAAAAAAAAGAAAAAAAATGAAATCAACAGCAGAGAGATAAGTCTAGATACCCACCTTTATAAAAAAAAAACAATTATCGCATATGCAGAAAATGAAAGAAAGAGAGAAAAGGGAGAGGAAGACAACCTTATTCTCTACAAGATCAGCTATTTTCTCCACTAATGCAGATTTGTTGGTCTGGTAGGGAACCTAAAAATACAAAACGATGTCAGAAACCGTACCAGATGAAAAAGAATCTCTAAAACGTAAAACAAAAAATCAGAATTATACCTCTTTAATGATAATAGCAGCACGTTTTGTTTTTGCATCTACTTCTACTTCAGTTTTTCCCCTCACTACTACGCGCCCACGTCCAGTTCTGTATGCCTCTAAGATGCTTAAGACAAAAAAGGAAATATAATCATGAGACAAATCATAGCAACCAAACATTATATGCATTGAATAGAGACGCCGGTGGCACAATAACAATATGGGGGTAAAAGTGAAGGATACACCATACCCACTGTTCCCCATGATTAGTCCTCCAGTTGGAAAGTCAGGTCCAGGCATGTGCTCCAGCAATTCTTGTAGCTAATACAAACAACAAAAGAATGACGGCAAGTACCAACATCAAGTGGCTAAAAATAGAAGGCAGTTCAACGGGTGCTCAATTCTACAAAGAATAAAACATAAAAAGTCGAGATTAACCTGGAGTTAGACAACTACAGAGAAAACACAAAATATGAAATGTTGATTACCCTCATTGAGACTTAAAAGTGAATGCCACAAGATTGCTGGTCTCAGACCAGATAAATTAAGTCCTCAGATCAACACGTAATGAAGATGTTGATAAGATACATGGCAAGATAAAAAAGTTGAAATTCACAATGTGCACATGGTGCTTTGCAGGTGCTTCAGAATTGAGACTGGAAAACACCAATGAAATTCAAAGTACATGTAAGACTAAAAGATGGCTGTGGTAGCAGTCTGAAAATTGATCAAACGATTGCTGCTCTAACACCTAAATAAATCTCGATTAAAAATTGTATAATTTGAGTTTTCTAATGACAAGCCCAGAAACAAATTCCACTGCTCACTTGCAAGACTTAAAACATCTATAAAGATATGCTTCTTTGACTTCATGACATCGAAAGGGGATCCATCGCCCTTGCCCACAAAAAGAACCTGCACCACTTCTGTTGGTTATTAAAGCATGCATAAAAAAACTTACCAAGTATGATTCTATTGCATCAGTTGGGGATGTTTGAGTGGAAGTAGACGGCATACAAGGTCAGTGTTACAGCACAGACATATAATAAAAAAAGGGGGCAGATTCTGGTCAACCTCACCCCACTGAAGCCCGTAAACATTGTTCCCAAGCTGCACCTCTGTATGTTTCCTCACATTGCAGACTCAAAAAGTTCAGCCTAAATCTGAGGGGTTATACTTGAGTAGTTTCCCATTGAAAACAAGTCAGATCCTATTATCAACAATGAATCATTTCCACACAATGACAAATGTTTTGAGATGAAAAGTCCAATAATCGAACACTTTGCATGCAGTCTTGTTTTTATCGCGATAACTGTCATTGCACATGTACAGATGCCATCCTTTCGTGCAATAAATGTACATACATGTACCCCGCAATGGCCATAAAGCTGAATAATTCAAGCCAGAATTACCAAAAGATATCCCTATGAGGTATGATTTGAAGCTTAATGCATTTTGCTCTTCTAGGTGCTTCGGTCATAAAATTGGGCCATCATTAGAAGAGGACATTCTGAGCAGAGTCCAAAAGAGGAAAACCTTCATCCTCAGGCAGTTAACCGCACATATTATTACCCTGCAATAGTATCACAGGTACTAGTGCATTATAATTTACAAAACTGTGACTAAAAGCCCAATCCATAAAAGCAGAACAGTAAGACGCGTGAGTCGCTTCTGTTAAATTGAGATATATGCTAGAACTGAAGTTTTGCAATTAAAGAGCATACTATGGGCAATAGGATGGAAGATCGCTCTTACAGTTGCATTGGGGTTCCGAATCAATGCAGAAAGTGAGTCCACAAGCTCCCCAAGATTGTGGGGAGGAATATTTGTCGCCATCCCAACCTAAAAATCAAGGATTGATTCATTTCAAGATAAGGGAGAACTTGTGATTTATCAAGAAAAATCTAAAAAGTATTCATGTGCAGGCCATACCGCAATACCGGAAGAACCATTAAGCAACAAAGTTGGAACACGAGCTGGCAAAACAGATGGCTCCTTTTGTGAATTGTCGAAATTGGGACTAAAATCAACCTAGGCATGTAAATCAAAAATAAGGAACTATCTTTACAAACTGAAATGAAAAAAAGAAAAGAAGAGAAACTCACTGTATTCAATTCTAAGTCCGCCAAGAGCATGGCTTCTGAAAGTGGCTGTACAATTTAGAGCAAATTAACGTCCTTAAACATGTCACTGGACAACTTATAAAAATAAAATATCAATACTTTACCCAATTTGCAAAGTGAAGACTGCGCACTATTAAATAATAGAAAGGGAATTGTAATATCTTCTGAGAAATAAGACTTTCAGAGATAAATACCATAAAAGGGTTAATGGCTTCTCAAAACTCAATAAAAACTTAGATAGCTTACAAGACATGGCCATTACTTTAGTAACATTGAAAACCACATGAAATAAATTGATTACACAGTATCGCTTTAAGATTACAATGCCACATGAAGTGGTACACAGTTAACACACTGAAATAAATTGATTGCAGTTTTAAACATGATCAACAAATAAGTCCTCATGTGGTGGAGGAAATCAAGACAACGATTTCTTTAAAACACAAAGAGAAAACATATAAACTGATCTCTGCATTGGTGGAATTCAGAAAAAAGGCAAAAGACATACAAACAGACAACATTTTAATATCAAGAATGATATTCGACAAGAAAGAACAAAATGAAATGTTGCAGTAGGATTTAAAATGGAAGCAGGATATTAAATGTTGTATTAAAATTTAAGGAAACTAGTATTACAAAATGAAAACAACACTTCAAAAAGAACGGAATACAAAGGAGTTTTCTCATAGAGAACTCTCATAACCTACTTCCAATCTGCATTCTGTATAACGCATTGCAGCAGGAGGATCTGCATCAATGGATCCAAAGTTTCCATGTCCTCGGATAAGTGGACAGCGCATTGAGAAGTCCTGAATAAACAGATTATAAACCAATATTAGAAAACAAAAAGGTCGTAACAAAAACAAGAGAAACTGCACCGTTTAAAAAAACAAAGATGGTTCAATGAAACAACAAGCGTTTATTAGAGCAAAAGGAAGTAATACCTGAGATGACTTCGTCGTTATAATCAAAGTACAAAAAGGCGTGAAAAGGCCTTACACCATCTCACTACCCGTTGTTATGTGGACTAGACTCTAGGAAAGCAGATGCTAGGTACTGTGCAACTCTTCTCTAAGTAGGAACTGTCCATGGTGCACATAGACAATGTAACCGTTTTAGATAGACATCTTAGTTATATCATAGTCTTAAATTGATCTAGATTAAAGTGTACATGTTTATTCTTTTATCATCGTCTTTCAGAGATGATGAGATGATACATTTGTCGAGTTCTTTTATGCTTTAATGAATGAAAGCATTTATGATTTTAAAGAAAGAAAGAAGTTCATAATGACTTCAGTATTGGGATTGCAAATATTATTTCGTTTCTGCGCACTGTTCTAAAATTTTCTACTTAAGAGGTAGCCCAGCGATTAAGATGCATGATATAGTGCATACAAATGGAAAAGACATGCGTCTGGTTCCTGTCATTACAGAATTCTAACTGCTTCTCATTCTCAGCCGAAGTAAGACTGGATGACTAAGGAGATACAGAAATCTGAAATTCTCAAACAACAAGGATTCACTCAGAAGAGGGATAGCAGTGACCTGTGCCATTCGAACTAAAGATTCATAGACAGCTGTATCTCCATGAGGATGAAATTTACCTAGAACCTGAAATACATAAATAGCTATCAGCTAAAGAACGCTAATCAAGCAAAAACAGCCATTAAAATGAAAAGGTTTGCGAGATACCTCTCCAACAACTCTTGCACATTTCTTGAAAGGTTTTCGGGAGGAAAGACCCAGTTCGTGCATTGCGTACCTGTGTCCACATACAAGTTCACAGGTGACTGAATGAATTATCACCATCACAAGATCATAAACAGACAAGGTCAAGGTAAATATCGCAAGTAAAAAATTAGCTAATCTGGAAACATCATGAAATAATTAAATGAAATTTTATATTTCATAAACTAAAAATATGTCTTTACCTTATATCAAAAGAAGGATATCAGTATGAAAAAAGCACCAAAAATCGAATAACAGCCTTTCCGTAAATTTCGGGAACCGAATATCTAGAGTTAAGAAATCAAAACAGGTGGAATCATCTACAAAAGATTTGCCGGAAAAATATTTAGAAGAATAAATATGCGTTTCGCACCTTTACAACAAGTGGGCGGGGGGCAGAGGAAGGGCTTGTACCTCCGTTATTTTAATGAGAGGTTCGTTTACAACAACAAAAAAGAGGGAAACTAAGCTTGATATCGAGGAAAGGTAAAAATAATACATAGTTCCTTTTTCTAAGGCTAGACACTCCTTTCTGTAACAAGAAGAAAGCATAAGTCCGGGCGGGTAAATGGCAACTGACATCAGGTTTGGTGTCGGAAACAAATGTGAATGGGGCCATGGAAAAAACTTTAACGCGAATGCATGATTCTCAAAAAGGGACACATGTGACTTCGTTCACGCACGAGGCAGCCACCAGGATCAAAAGACCCGGAGATAGAAAAATGCACAGTATTTACATTATGAAATAACAGACAAATATCTAATCATTCGGATTTTGTTATAGAGCGGAATGAGGATAAGGTAAAGGGAAAAAAGAGAAATGACTATTATAAAACAAAGACATAATGTAGAGTGTAATCAGTACCAATGTCGACGGCAAAAACAATCTTCCTACGAGGAAAAAAGTTAGCTTGGCTCCGACTTACAATATTCTCCTGTGTACCGGCTTCAGGCCGTCCCTCACATCCGGCAGCGCACGACCAAGAAGCACAGACATGGCATACGCCATATAAGCTTCCGTTGCCTCCTTATGGAGCTCCGTTGGCACAACCCGGCCATTTTGACCATCCGATTTTTCTTTCAACACTAATCTCCCATTTCCCCCTGGGCCTCCTTCCCCCCCATCCTCCCCCTGGGCCTCCTTCGCAACCGAAGAATCATCCTCTCTCTCCCTCCTCCTCGCCGCCAGCGGTCGGACGGGCCTACGAGGCAGGGTGGAAAGGAAACGGACGTCGCAGAAGCCATATCGAGACCCCTGTAAGGAAGTGGATATGGCAGGGAAGCAGAGACGACAGCGCGCGAGGGACGAAGTTAGGCGGAGCATGGTCGACAGCGTCGCTTCAGTGAGCTCAGGCTTTCGCCTCCCCTCTTGCTCAAGCCTCCGCCATTACTCTGACACCTCCGCTCTTCCAGGACCCCGATGGGGTTTAAGGGATATTTCGCGGGTAACGTCCTTCCTCTTCTTGAAATGGCAGAAACCCTAAGAGAAAACCCCCTGAGCGTTACTGGATCAGTGAAACAGGCCCAGCCCAGTGACAACTGTCACAGTGGCATATTTTTGTGATATATATACATTTTTAAATATTCAGAATATCACCTCATCGGATGAGTATATTAATAAGAATGTATAAATACTTTACGGCATGTCAGCTGCTGTTTGGCCATAAGAATAAATTAAAATTTTAAACGTATAAGAGAAATGGGGGATTTTTTTTGGGGTGTAGGAATATTTTGGTTGTTTCGCTTCTGTTCCTACAGCGAGGAGAGTGGGAGTGAGGAGTTCCCTGGGATCTATAAATACGGATAACAGGGGGAAAGTTGCAGCGGTGTGAAAGGGAGAGGGAAGATGAAGAGGATACCCGTTGTAATTGCAGGCTGCGGTGGCGTCGGACGACAGCTTCTGGAGCACATAGTCAACTGCAGAGCTCTTCACTCTAAGCAGGCACCCGATGCTCTACCCTTCTAAAACCCGGGGGATGGGGGATTATTTGGCCCCTGTTCCGTCTCGGCTATTCTTTCCGCCCCGCGCTTCTTGGTCTCGGGGAGCCAGTCTCTCGTGTTTCCTTCTGAAATTCGGTGTCGTTTTCGTCGCCTTTTCGTCTGTTTTGTAACCGGGGTTAGGGTAGAAATCGTAGCCTGAATGATGGGGGTGCCTTGTCTTAGCAGGGATTGGTTCTGCGCGTTGTGGGTGTATGCGACAGTCAGTCGATGCTGGTGGCGAACGACATTTTCACGGAGGAATTGAATGACGACGTCCTGGCGCGAATTTGCCTTGAGAAGTCCCGCGGCACTTCTCTGTCAGAGCTTAATGATATCGGTACATTCCGTACGCTAGAAGCTCCGTTTTATATACTACCGCAATGCAATCTTTCTTTGGTAGGAGCTTACCGACGCCGTTGTTCTTTTTCGGTGCTGGATGGAGCTCAAACAATCCACTTCTCGTCTTTCCATAGACAGCATTGAGGCCTCTAATAAAGAATTAGAGATAACTTAGCCGTTTAGGCTGAAAATATGGCACGAAGAAGTATCCTCAAACAGTCAGCGGAAAAGAATGAAGTACAAAATAAAGTCTTTCAGTAGCCCTTGTATAGACCGTCAAGTAACTGGAAGGATGGCTGCCTAGTTCTATGCCGCAACAAAATGTAGCCAAGCGTTACCTAGCTTGATTTTTTAAAACTAAACTCGTCCTTTCCTTTAAGCTCTTGCACTTTACATCACAAATCCTTAATTTTCGGTTCTTCTGTAGAAAGAGGCTCAGGAATTGCTTCTGTATACATCGTTTTAGTTAACATACCAGCTGATTAGAAATGACGAGAAATTTCTCTACCATTGGACACTGGGACATCCATTCTGCCTATACAAGAATTCTTCGTGAAGGTAACGTCCTGAACTTTCTTCCTATTGTTAGAGGAACCTAACAGAAAAGCCCAAAGAACGCTTGCAAACGGTTCTCCTTCAATAGGTGTTGAAACAGGAAAATAATAGTGTAGCTGGTGCCTATCACTCAAAAAAAGCCATAATAAAAGAGCACCCTTCCCCTGTATTTTGGATTCCTAACTGTCTTGTCGCTGTCTTTTCATTTTCTGTTTCTTATGCTATGAAACTCCTATGAACTCCCCAACCTCAACAGACAAGCCTAAAGCAATTTCTCAGGAATATAAGAGGCATGGAAATTGCCAACATTCAATGTGAGAAATACCTTGATGAGAATCACAACTAAGACTAAATATTGCGGAAAGCTTTCTGATATGTTGAAGATAAATGTTTGTTTCTTGTATTACTCATTGAATCTCTAGTTTAACAGATATAATGCGCTTTTATCATTCTAAATGAAGTGATGATTGCTGTAGCCCTCCAACCGCTGCTCCATATTTATCTTCCTTCTCTACATGGACGTTGGGAATCTGCTTCACCTCTCTCTCTCTCTCTCTCTCTCTCACACACACACACACCCCCACACACCCCCACACACACACTCGCTTGCTGCCCCTCTCCACACACACACATGCACACGCACACACACACACGGCAAAATATTTATATGCTGAAGGAGGGCAACGGAGCTAGACAGATAAATGGTTGGTGGAGCTGAACCTTTATATTTCTTTCATCAATTGCAGGTGACTGCCAAGTCTTCGACTATAAAGAAGCAACCATGCAGGTTATTGATATCGCTGGTCTTCTAGGCAGATCAACAGGTTTGTCAGATATGTGCATTTGTTGTGTTCTCAACTTTGTCCCTTGGCAATCCATATGTAAGGCACACGAACAGAGATTGCTTAAGTATCAAAGTCTACGTCAAACTTCAAAAAGGACATTTTATGCTAGTCTAATACACTAGATTTATACTACTACACTTTCTAATATGCCATTCTGATTGCAACCGTTTAGCAACTCGAATATCTATGATTTGCTTTTTCGCTGTTGTTTGCTGTATTTTCATTATTTCTGAGCTGTCTCTGTTTTGTTTTTTCCCAACAGGTTTGGCGGTTGTTGACTGTACGGCCAGCTCTGAGACTCTTGAAGTGTTGAAACAAGTCATTGACTCCGGCTGCTGTGTGGTGCTGGCAAACAAGAAGCCACTCACTTCATCAATGGTAAGTGCTCCACTGCTTCTTCAGATAATAGTGACGATGAATACTGCCAGCTAATTTTTTTATTATCGCTTTTGAATTTACTTCAGGCAGCCTTTAATGATATGACCAGGCCTTTTATATTGATTTCAGGAAGACTATCAAAAGTTAACATCCCACATCCGCCGAATCAGATATGAGTCAACTGTATGCTCTCATTGCCACTCATCTTTGTTGTCTCAGTTCTGCTTAATGTATTAGGTAGACAATATGAGGGAGATTTTTTGTCTGTATTTTGTTTATAATAAATATTTTACTACGAAATTCGTTATATATTTATCATGATTTGGTACAGGAATACTTGTTTAATTAATTATGAAGCTTATGAGCATGATGACAAGAAAAAATATCTTCATACGTACCCGTGTGCTTCTGGACGCATCTCCACATTATGTTTGATATGCCTTAACTTTCGATAGCCTTTTAGCCTCTGCATGTTGTAATTGGGAAATATTCTTGTTCAAATTTTACACATTGATAATTTCTACATCTTTTCATAGTGTAATAAGATTCTTTTTGTGGGTCATTTGGTTTTTCATGCTGCCATCACAGCAATAAAGCAATAACACCAAGTGTCTCCTATCCCCAGGTTGGAGCTGGACTTCCCATCATAGCCTCTGTAACACGTGTAGTTGCCTCAGGAGACTCCGTATTTCGTATTGTTGGGAGCTTAAGTGGTACAATTCCCGTCAGCATGTATATTAGTACGATATTGCTATTTTTGACTGGACTGGTTTCATGTGGGTTTTTATTTTCACGTAAATGTGTAAAACAACAGGCACTTTGGGGTATGTCATGAGTGAAGTGGAGACTGGGAAGCCTTTCAGTGAGGTTGTTCAGGCAGCAAAGCGCCTTGGTTATACTGAACCTGGTTAGTTTGTTTATGTTGTACCCGTGTAAAGTTATGGTTGCTTTCTAGATTAATGTTGTATCGTCTTCCTCGATCCTGTTGTCTTAATAGTTGTTTTTACAGCACAGCATAAATTTATTCTATGCAAATCATGCTGACAATTTATCATTTTCTTGTCCTTTTAGATCCTCGTGATGACCTGAGTGGTATGGATGTTGCCAGAAAGGTGTGGGTGATACCAATCATTGCTTAATCTATTTCCCACATTAAACTGTTTCATGGCAGACTTATTCCTGGTGGCTTACAAATGTCTCTTTCAGTTTTTGGTGACCAACGTAATTAATTCTTTTATTAAAAACAAAATAGGCATTGATCCTGGCTCGACTAATTGGATGGCAGATTAATTTGGATGACATTACGGTACACCATGTGCCATCATCTTGAATGCTCTTTTAATTTTACGTCAACAAATCACTTATTCATCTCTATTTTCCTTTGTTTTCTTTTTTCTTTTTCCCCAGGTGGAAAGCTTGTATCCTGAGGAAATGGGGCCCAATTCCATGTCAACAGAGGACTTTCTTGGTGGTGGTCTTTCATTAGTAGACAAGGATATTGCTGAGAGAGTGAGGGTGGCCTCTCTGAAGGGCAATGTCCTTCGTTACGTTTGTTTGATTGAGGATTCAAGGTACCATTTATGTGACCTGCTTCAAAATCTACCTGTCAATAATACTAGGAATTTCCTCTTTTCTTTGCTCCTTATGCATCACAAAAGTATCTAACTTGCATCATAAAAGTATTTAGTTTATGTGATGCCCGATTCTATATGTTTTCTTTCTAGAGGTCAGAGCATGTATTCATTGTATTCACTAGTGGAAGCTTCTTTATTCCATCTAGGCCGCCACCAGGAAGTATTCATAGAAAAAAAATTGCCAGATGGCAATGCCTCACTTGATGTATAATTGATTATTTTCTGGCTAATTTCAACAGGCTACTCGGTTTATTTAGCCTTAATTTGGGTCTATAACCGCAAGGACGCACTGAACATTATCAGGATATCCACTGATTTCTCCTTTAGAGACCTGATGTAACCAGATAAGCCTAGGCTTTTCGTTCTTTAAAAATTTCTTGCCATTTGTTTTTCTCAAAGTGGCTATTCCTCCCCCCTTGGTCTGAAGCGCACATCCCCCTGAAATTAGAGACTAGAACGCCACCCGATGATCGTGGACGTTTTGGGAAGTGAGCTACTTATTCAATTAAGCGACTTATCCTGCCTCAAATATATTGGCTAGGTCACTTGATGTTGTCATTTCAGTCAGATCCTGATGAAGAGAATCAATGGTGCCTCATAATCCAGTTATTTAGACGGGAGCCTGATTGATTTCAGCCTTGTTCCTGTGATGGGGAGTGCTGGATACTCCCTCTTTTAATTATAAGTCCATGTCTCCACGTAATATATCGAAATTTATTGTCCCGGGGCAAAAGCATGGAAGCTTTTTTGACAAAATTTGGAGAAAACAGATCGGAGGGAAGAGATAAAAAATCGTTGTATGTTTTCACAAAGTGATTGTGGGAACAAGCTTTAGCATGTTGATCATCATCTGTCTATTCATTTTAACTAATTTCCTGTTGTTTTTTTGTTAGATAAACATGCTGTATAATATTTGCAGGGTTCAAGTTGGTTCACAAGAGATATCCAAAGCCTCTTCAATTGGACGATTGAGAGGAAGCGATAATGTGGTAACCTAATCTCCTGACGACCTCTTCTCATTCCTTGACTTTTTTTGCAAAATCTACATAGATAATGAAATCGTTTGCATGCGTTGCAATGAATCGAGCTATCTCGTTAAATTCATTCCAACATAGTCGTTGGTATGCCAACGCTTTTTAATCTAGACGCGTTAGTTTGTGTGATCCACAGCCATGGTGGCGCTTAGACGTTCATTTAATGTGCAGGTGGAAATATACAGCAGGTGCTATAAGGAATATCCTTTGGTGATTCAGGGAGCTGGCGCAGGAAACGACACTACAGCCGCTGGAGTTCTGGCTGATCTCATAGATCTCCAAGATCTCTTCAAGTAAGCCGCCCTCTTCCTCTCTCATACTTGGAAGCGCCCCGCATTTGGGCAAAAGATGGATTGCCGTAGGGATGTACCTATTCACCCGCTTCATTTTTCATATGATCTGAACATTGGAATGTGATGCTGTCTTCGAAACAGTCCATCGGGGTCGCTCTTCTGTTTTTTTTAATCAGAAGTACCCAGTGAATCCGAGAATTGCTTGTTGGGATTTCCTGATAGTAAATATTAAATTTGTTTTTATTGTATCATTTGGACATCAAAATTCTCTCAACCTGTAAAACCAGTCGAGCAGAGGGGGACTTCATGCAGGCCATGCCCAGCATCATCCCCGTGATCTTCTGACATTCGCCCCCCTTCTTGGGTCCTTCACTGGCTGAGCTGTGACGATTTAGTTATCTGTCGCCGGGAACTCGCCTATCGAGATGGCCCATATCCTGTTGCTCGCCTCCGTCGTCGCGCTCGCTGCGGCGTGTGGTGACGTCGCCTCGGCACAGGGTCCCTCGCCGGCGACGGCAACCGACTGCGTCGCAGTGGTTCATGCCCGCCTGCTCCCGTGCCTGACGTACGTGCAGGCCGGGAGCAACCTGACAAGGCCCGAAAAAGGGTGCTGCCGGGGGCTTTCCTCAGCCGCGAAAGACGACCTTGATGAGCCGGCGAACTTCATTTGTGACCGGGAGCAATGTCCGGAAAGCTCCTATGATTCTCCGTCGCGGTGTCTCTGCATGTTCCTGTCCGCGAGGTCGACGCTGACATCTCCGTCGACCGAAACAAGGCCCTGTTGCTGCCTACCGTCTGCAACACGATGGCGCCTCCGCCAAGCCTGTGCCCGTGTAAGTTTTTATTCTCCGCCTCCCACATCTACTCAGAGCTTCTCCTACCGGCGATTAGATTGTTCCTCCCCCTCCCGGATCTTTGATATTTGTAGCGTTGTTCTACCACGCAAAGGCGTTGCCATTGATTTCAACCACGGTGCCTAGTATTCTTCTTTCCAGTTCTCGGGACCCCCCACAGGAGTCCGGTGGGCTCGCCCGCCGCCGCTGCGCCGGCGGGGTCTGCCACCACGCCCGACGTCGCCAACCCTCCGGGCGACGAGCCCGCTGCTGCCGGCCCCCGGACCGGGAACGACGCATATCCGAGCTCCAGACGCTCCTCCACCCTGGCGCTCCTCGCGGCCACCTGCTTCGCCATCGCTCCCGCTCTCTAGCCTAGATTCCACCGTCCGCCCCTCAGGTGATAACGCCATCACACTCGGGGGAAGAACGACCGTCCTTGAAAATTCCAGATCGTGTATGTTCAATTTCGATCAAACTGTCAGTAAAACTTGAAAAAAAAAATCTGCTTTTCGAAGTTTGACTTCGGGGTTTGGCGATCGACGACAGTTGTCAGAACCCGCCGCCATCCTATACGTGCATCTGTCCATACGGCCCAGTAACGGCCGCGGATGACGCAGACATCGCAGCTGTCAGTCTCCTCCGGTCGGTACCCTCTTCCCTTCTTCGTCCTCGCGGAGGGAGAAGACGATCTCTGGAGCAATGACTGCTGACACAGACCACTCATTTTTCCACGCGAGATGGGGATGGCGACTGTGCCGTGCCCTTCGGGAAGGAGGGGCTTCCGACCCCGTGACCAGAGCAAGCCAGCCTGCCCAGGCTCTTTATTGCCGTCCCGCCCAACAGCGGCCTGCCGGTCTTCCTACGCCGCCTCCCCCCACCAAATTGCTCCTGCCTCCCCGCTGCCTCAACGTAGTTATAAAATCCCCTGCTCGGAAGCTGTTTGTCCCTGTTTTCTCTCACTTAGGCTTCCCAACGGCGGCGGTGGATGCCTGGAGCAGGTCTGAAGATGGACCGGATGGTGTTGTTTGTGGCGTTCCTGATTCTGATGGCGGCTTTCAGCGGCGGCGCCTGGGCGAAGACGCCCCCAACGGAGGCTCCCACGGGAGATGACCCCTGCTTCACGGCTGTCTTGGACAACCTTTTACCCTGCGTGGACTTCGTGGATCCCGGGGGGAACCAGACGAAGCCCTCCAAGGAGTGCTGCCAAGGCCTCGAGGATTTCTTGGCACGCAACCGCACATGCATCACCTTTCTCATCAACGCCAAACCGGCCGACCTCCCCGTCCCTGTCGACCAGAGGAAGGCCCTCAATCTCCCCGGTGTCTGCAGTGCGAGTATCCCTCAGCTTGACCATTGTTTCCTTCATTTCATTTTTTCCTTCTACTCTCTTTCCCTGTGTTCTAGCGCAGTATTATTTGGTTTTCCAGGTTACAATTTTACTGTCAAAAGTCGGAAGGGGCCGTCACCCGCCCACTCGCCGACCAGCGCCCCCGCCACCCCGCCGACCAATGCCGCCGCCCCTCCACCGACCAATGCTGCCAACCCGAGTTTCATGCCCTCCGCGACGGCTTTTCTCGCGGGCATCTCCCTCGCCATCGTCGCCGCCCTCCTCTGAGCTGGGCTCTCGCACAACAACGCAAGCCAGGAAAGGAAAGAAACGTGTCCCCTTCCTTCCACGGCACGCTGTAATTCTTCCACGGCGCGCTGCGCACTGGCCTCCTCGTCCCTGACCGTGGAGCGGCTGTTCCTCATTCGTGGACTACCTCCAGTACCAGATTCGTCTGCTACATAAAAACGTGTGCCTTCTTTGATGATTTTAAACCGGGCATCCCGGCTTTAGCGGCGCCGTAACGAGAATTAAACTGAGATGGATGAACGACCCAGGACGGTACACCTCATTAATGATCGCCTCTGGTCTCTACCTCCCAGCTGTCCCCGAGAGGGGGATTTAATGGCTGCAACCCGACTCAAAAGCCATTGAACAGCCAGAATCCATTAACTCCTCGCGTCTGAAGTCACGAGGAAGTAGCTGAGTACCGAGGGGATCGACGATGCCAGTAATCCATGTGCGACATGTTAAATACTCGATAAATGTATAAAATATATTTTACAACATACTGAGGATCTAGCACTGCCAATAAAAGAATGTTACTTTCTAAAATAATTCTAATTTGTATTTGTGTCAAACGATTGTAAAGCATTTATTTCGCTACCATTTATGTTCTTATAAATACAGAGATGGTGACTGTCTTGACTCCGATAAAATAAGCAAAATTATTAGCTCTAGAAAAAATCAAAACATTAATGGGTGTTTATTCTCAAATCTCTTCGTTGACCTTTTGACGGGAGCAGCTTCAATGCTTGAAGTATACTGCTTGAACAGACTAATATCTGTGATACGATTTAAAAATGTGAGAAATTAGTTCACGAAAGCAAAAGAATGTGTATAGAATATATATTTTTTCAAATATCACATTGAGATGGCCTCTTTGATTAACCCAAGAGATTTTTTTTTAATTATGCAAAGTTTAATGGAATCATTAGACACAAGTATTCTATTTTTAGACAAAAATATGTTACATTAAATTGCTTATACAAAAGATGCTATTATTCATAATTTGTGAAGTAATGTTTAAATACAACCAATAAATTAGCTATAATTTTGATGTGTTATCACTTTACTATGATAATTTAATTTTTCAAACTCTTTAGATGTTAGCAGATGGAAAATGTACAATTGCATAGCACTTGTTCACACAAAATTATGAAAATTTAAGCTAACCACTATATAAATTCCAACCTAGCTAGAGATGTGTAGAACATATTATTTCCTCTTTTGTAAATTCCAACCTAGCTAGAGATGCGTAGAATAGCTAACATTTTTTTTCCAAGTATTTAGCTACATTTTAGCTTACAAAAGAGGAAATAATATGTTCTTAGTGCATAAGTTTAAGCTTGACATTTTTGTCAATTTCTATCATGATGTTATGTTGCATTTCTTTCCATATCTCCCATTAGAGATATGGTGGAACCATCAACTGCCACATTGAGAAATAGAGAAAATTGTGAAATTTAGATTATGTTCATTATGGCTGACTGAGGTAATGTATGTGATTTTGAGTGTCCCAGGTTCTAGTTATAGTGTTTGATACATCAATTGACACAATGAGGAAGGCCATTACTAAGGTTGCTGGTGTGTTGATACACTTGACATTATCTATGTAAAGATTTTTCTTGGCTTGGGCTTAGGTCTTTGAATCTAACTCTTAGAATAAAATTTGAGATGGATGGTCTATGATGTTTTGTCTATCCAGAACTTTGCAGGCATTGTGGGCTCCAACTTAAAGACCAAGGACCAAATCTTCAAAACTTATGACTAACTTTATTCACTTTTTGACTTACAAACTCATTTTTTAATGGTTGTTGAAACATCGCACCACCATTAAATTTTGGCAACTACCTTTACTTAACAATATACGACACTTGTCTTGTTGGCCCCTCATAATTCAAAACACAATTTAGTACAAAATGCATGGTCACGAAAATTTCCACTAAATTCTAAGGAGCTTCAGCGATTGAGAACATCTTCTGGTTGGTTTTATTTATGTCTCTGGGCTGGGGAGTGAGGCTTCGCCGATTGAGAACTAAAGCTTTATGAAATGTTATGGGGGTGATCTACCATTAATATGAAGTGTGCATTCATGGAAGCAACATTTTCTCAAGAATCCATTTAGTTAGGCATTCTTAGAAATTAGTATCTGAGATTTAGTAAAAATGATCATAATAAAAGATTGTGTAAGAATTTATTAAAATGGAACTAAAATAGATCTAAAAACATTCAAGATGTCCATAAATATTATCACAAAAGCTAAATGATGTTGTAATCAGTTCAATAATTGTAATTACTTCAAATCTTAAATAATATTTTAGACAATGGTTTAAATTCATCACAAAAAAATTGGTGAAGTATCATATTTTTATGGTAATAATTAATGTTTTTTTATTATAGCCAATAACTGATTAATATATTAAAAAATACAATACAATAGTTGTAAAATATCATAATGTCCAAGGATAAATAGTAACAAGGAAGGGGTAAAAAAAAATAAAAATCGTAATATGATAAGAATAGTTTGAAGGTAACTAATAAAGAATGTTAAAAAATAAAAGAATCAACTTAATATGGATTATTTAACCGATTTGCATGAGACACATGTTTTATAGTGATGAAAGTTTCTCATATTAAAATGTTCTCTATAGTCTATAGGTATCATTTCACGATTTCATTATTGAGATAAAGTAGTTGATTACTAGGTGTTAGCTTGCCTCTACTAGACTCATGAGTCCAGCAAAATTCAATGCCAATGATATTTGTTTGTAGATTCATAACTCTAAGGAACCAAACACTACTAATTTGGTGTAATATGACCATTCTAGATCTGCAACTCAAGAAATTTTGACATGCATACTTGCACGTCTTAGTAGTAATAGTCTTCTACTACAATAATTCAAATATTTCAGAAAAAAATTATATTCATAAACTTCATTATAGTGGTACTTTGACACAAAATTGATTGTTCTTAAAGGATATAGATTCAACCTATAATTCATTTCTTGTTATTTCATGCTTTTATACTTTCATGCTCTTCTTTTTCGTCTATTTCTTTATTTTTCTCAAAAATTAGAATGTTTTGGTATATCAAAAAATATTACTTAATTTTAATTGTTTGTAAGTTGTGAGGAAGGCCACGTCCTCTGTTCTTCAATGGTAGGTCCCTTTGGTTGTTTTGTCAAAAATACTTTAGTGTTGGTCCCAAATTTTTACATGATTCTGCAATATATGCCTATGGATTTTCATGTTGTTTTATATCACTAAAAATGTTCTATGTACTGAGATATTGAACTTCATATAGTTACTTTTATATGAGTGTAAATGTCATGTACTAGGATACTAACCTTCAAATATCATGTTATATACACAACATATTTTTCATGTACCAAAAATATAAAGCTGAATATATTTATTTTTTTATGAATTTTCATTAACTTATGAATAAAATTTCTTAAAGTGATTTCACATGATAAATTTTATTTTGATGTACTTAAATATAATAGCATTTCATAATTTTATATAATTTACTATTTGACGATGTGACTCATCATCTTTTAACACAAAGCTTCATTAACCTCAATATTTTGTAACCTAACTTTTGTATATAAATACAGCAACATTGTGCCCACAATGCATATCCTAAAATACATGCATATAAACATTGATATCTTGTGCTGTTCCACAACACAAGACATCATTCATTTATTCAAATATTATCCCTAATATATTAAATTATTTTCATATTTTCTGTATGTTATTTTTTTAATTTTTTCATGAAATATTATGCTTGATACCCTATTTTGTTCACTATTATAATTCTTCATATATTAGGAAATTGTTGATCACGTTACAATTTCTGTTAAGAATTGAAAAATTACAAAACACAATCTTATATAGTAGATATTTTAATGAATCAAATTAATGTGTCAAAGACTAGAACACGTCATTATATCATTTTTTTCATAAATTTAATATTCGAAAAGTGTTATATTGAGTCGTTCACAAGAAAAATGATACATTGAATATCTATAAATATGATTTACATCATGTTCTTGATACATATGAATCTGTAAACATGCTGAAATATTTATGTTAATTATGACATTGCTTGACGATTCACTTTTTCATGGTTTATGTGAAAACTATATATACCTAAGTATTTTGAATCGAAATCTTATGCAACAAAATGTTAATAGTTTCAAACATAAAATGGAACCCACAAGTCTAACAATGGTAAAAACAAACCATTTACATGCAAACGTGAATTTAAATTATATGAATACAAAAATGTCAATTAATATGTAATTTACACAATGTGTATAATTGAAAAAAGTTACAATTAACTTACTGATAGTTATATGATGGATGACCCGTTTTAGGCTGGTCAATGGAGATAGAAACTCACAACGTCCCAAGTATAGAGACCCGATGCGATCACACGTTGAACTACGCACCATTACTTTCGTGCTTTGTTCTATCTGGAATTACGATGCATGGGCACCAGGACCCTCATGCGGCAAGACTGCGCAAAGAACAACAACGTAGCCCGCAGATGATGCAGCAGTTGATGCAGACGTTATATGCGTAGAATAAGCTCATGACTACTTACAAATGCTGCGATTCATGGGTCTTAATCGACATTGCGCCTTTCTCTTGAGTGAGTAGGCTGCGGACAAAGCCCTGCCCTACGGAATCGGGCTCCTTTTTTCAGCTTGGGCCATCAGGGACGGCTCTTTACTACCGTTCCAAGTGGCGCATGGCTCCGGACTCGATGTCCCCACCCGGCCCCCGATCTGGGCCAAGTGCCCATAACCCGGGCTGCTGCCAGAAGCCCGCCTAGGCAGCGGGCTCCATCTTCCTGGGTGAGTCTGGTGAAGCTATTAAAAACCCTGCTATCGGCTGTCTCCACCGTCCTCATAGACTGGAACGTCCCACCCACAACGGGTTAACAAGAGGGGAGAGGAGCGTCACTGGGGCCGCTCTCAAGATGGCCCGGATGGAGTTGTCCGTGATTCTCGTGTTTCTCGTGGCGGCTTCCAACGGCCTCACCTGGCCGCCAACGGAGCACCCCCCGACTTCCTGGATCCCCTTGGAGCCTCCCAGTCGCAGTCCGCCAGATGATACCTGCTTCACGGCTTTCGTCGATAACCTTTTAGACTGCCTGGACTACCTGGATCCTCAGAGCAGCAAGACGAAGCCCACCAAGGGGTGCTGCAGAGGTGTCAAGAAGTACGTGAAAGACGAACCCACATGCGTCTGCTTTCTCCTCAACACCAGTTCGGAGAACTTTCCGGTCCCTATCAACCGGAGGAAGGCTCTCAAGCTCCTCCGTGTCTGCAAGGCCAAGATCCCCCGGTCGATCGGTGCAAACGTGAGTTCCTTTTTTTCCCCTCTGAACTCCGCCTTGCTCTTTTCTTCGTTTTGCAACTTCCACATCATGCTCCGTGAACTAGCTTATCCAAAACTTTTCATCGATGTTTATAATATCTGTTTTTCCAGAAGGTCCTCCCCCAGCCCCGAGACAGGTCTGACCGCCATCCGCCATCTCGCCCCCACGCGGCAAGGAGATCTTCCGATCATCACGTATGAGTCTTTGTCGAGACAATCGATACGAATAAACATCTGGGTGTTTCGGGCTTGGGCCTTCAAAGCAAAGCTGTGTCAAAAAAATTTCTCATGGCAGTGTCCAGTCTGCTCCTGATAAACAGTGGTCCAATCTTCAAACCCAATAACGTCACTTACGTCTCTCTCTCTCTCTCTCTCTCTCTCTCTCTCTCTCTCTCTCTCTCTCTCTCTCTCTTTCTCTCTCGCTTGCTCCTCTCTCTTTTTAGTTCGTAATATATCCACTTGATGCCGCCGCCACCAAGGCCCGATCCCACACCCCCTGATAGTAGTGGCCGGGAGGGGTAGTCAGGATAAACCTCTATGCTCAGTTTCATAGAAGTTTCGCTCGGAGCTCGTTATGTCTGTATAAAGGCTGCCGAAGTCTCCCTATTTAACGTTTGACTCTAGAACCATCACCATTAAAGACACAATTCTATGCAGATTGACAGTCGACCGAGACGTCTGCTGATCCCTATTAGAGGAGATCCTTGACGAAGAGATCGAGGGATCAGCATTAAATCGAGAAGGTGGACATTTTTCAAGGTTAGGATTCACGACACGCTCTAACACTGACTGCCCCTTTATCTAGATGCCCGTTAATTTCTCATGAAAATTCCCATCCAGAGATCAGGCCGTGATCTGCCAAATATCCACGCCACAATTTGCTTCACATGGGTTGTCATTTGACCACAATTGACGTCATTTAGTTTGACTATTCCATGAATGACTATTGCTAATATGTGCGATGTTTCTAGTAACGACGATTAATTAATCAGGGAGAGAATGATGGGCTGCCAGGTAGCATTGCCGTCGCCCAAAGGCGTGCCAGATTTGACTGCGTAGATGAGTGCGGTAAGCACAATCGGCCCATAGTGGCGATGATTATTGGCCGGACTCTGGTAGTAGGCAAAGCCCTACCAGAACACGCCTGCCTGAAATTGTTTCCCTTCGTTCTGCGTTGCGTCTCGTGATGTTCCGTCAACACACGCCCAGAAGGATTCCCCCCAGGCGGTCCTGTGTCTTTCCTCCGGTGCTCCCTCAGTCTCCAACTCCGGATGCCCCTTATAAAACGCCGGTTCTTGCCGACAGGACGACGGCGGTAGCATTAGCGTGAAGGAGAAAGCTGCCGAAGCACCTACCAAGACTACAACTTTGTTGTTTATAATGATCCTCCACCTCGATGCGGCGTCTCAAGGGGTCGCTTGGGCCAAAACCTCGTCCCCGCCTCCACTACGAACTCCTGGTGGCGACTGGACTGGGATCTTGAGGGCAAGCTAACTCTGGCGTAGGCGGAAACCGAGAAGCCAGTTGACGAGGCCAACCGGCGGGTGCTACGAGAGTCTCGCTTCAATCGCCGAAACGGCCTCCGCATGCCCACCCTCCTCTCCTCTCACAACAGCACCCTACTCCGGGTGGATTAGAGAAGGATTCGCTTATCCCCCTCGTTCATTTTATCCCTCTGTCGTCAGCTCTTCCTACATTCGGAGTCCCCGTCGCGACTCCGGAGGCCTCTCCCTTCGGGTGAATCTTCTCCAGCTACGGAAAACAGAGAGGGAAGTAAAGATCCAGTGCCCGCTATGACGCAAACGAGGTAGCTTAAATGATCAAGATGGACATTGCGAACATATATGATAAGATAATCGATATTTATCATTGAATGATGACGTCAAGAAACTATACGTCTGCACATTACTGAGGATGTCGAATAGCTTGATAATGTGACTTTATGGATACTTGCACAATCTATAATGAGTTAATTAATGAAAGGAGCTTACCTTGCGGTCAGTTATTTGTATCTAAGTAAGAAATTTTCATTGCTGTTCGAATTCAAGGGTGAAATGTTCAAATTTTCACTGTGCTTGAACAATGTCCTTCTCCTGTCGGTGTTGGCCAAGTATTCTGAACTTATTGTGAGCATGAATATCTACTATACTTGGTCATCATCTTTGGACTTGGGATTTAAAATAAGGCCAGTAAAATTTAGGCCAAAAGCCAGCACAGATCCACGCTTGGGCATGGTTTGGCTCCAAATCCTGTATCCTTCCCACTGTCACCATCATTCGTGAGTTCGTTCCATGGATGGGCGTCATAAGATGGATTTCAGCGTCACGGGGTCTAACTCGGATCCCGAGTTCTTTCTGTGGAGTCTTGAAATGTTTGATTGAGTTCATGTTTGGTCCAAAATGGCCGTAGTGACCTCATTGTTTGATGATTTTTGTGGCAATTTATTAATCCAATCTGTTTGTGGGCATTACCCTCTAGTTCACAATTAAGGAACCCTATAGAAAAATGTACCCACGTTGATTGAAACATGAATATTCGAATTGTGAGGTATTGACGGAGGTGTTAAGTAACCAACCAGTGAAACTTATCACTGGGTTTCTGGATTCGGAGTGTTCAGCCTGGAAGAATGGCTATTCCTCTTGGTAGGACGAATGGTCATGTGTTCTTGTTCGATCACTTACAGTGTCCCTTGGGATGCAAAACTTGGCGGTCCATCTCACAATCATGAAGTGTGGAGTCTACTTTATACGGTCGCTTATAAGGAATACCCTATCACAGAACTTCGTGATGTTTCATTAAAGTTAGGCCCTCGTTCGAGGATTAGTTCCACATACGCTATTTTGTAAAATAGATGATACGAGGATTGTGAGGCTTAGCATACAATGAACGTTGCAGTTTTGAACGGCTATTTATCAACCCAAGAGCTGCCACATTACCATTGGTATTCAGTGCTTAATTAAGGAAGATTCACGATCTGATTCTTGTCACTTCACCTTTAATTTTGACATTTTTGGAGTGTCTACTCGATACCATTGTGAATTTGATGAATCAGATTTAAACACCAAATAAAGTAAATGTATCGTAATGGTTGAAAGTGCTAGATGTTAGTATGAAACGAAAGATAATACGGTGCTAGAATGTAAAATATAAATGGATCGTACACTGTTCAAACAAGAACAAAAATACATAGGGAGTTCAACCAGCTGGATAAAGCCAGAAGGTAGACTAGGCATATGATGGTTTGGCAATGTTTTATCCCTTAAAAATGACCCAAAACTCGATGTAGAAGCAGTAATTTGGTTTAGTTTTACACAGAATATCCGTGACGTTGTTGATTCAGGTAATTTTACCTATTGTAAATCAAGAGAGACGGTATTCCTCCGATCAATATAATATATGATCGTGTAAATGGAAATGTATATCCATGATCGTCCTCTCCGCTGGTAGCGAGGGGAAAGTGTAAGGCATTTGGCAATCGACGTCAAGTGAGAACTTGTCGAGTTCACCGACGGAGGGCCGAGGCTTTGAATTAAGTGCTTATTCTGATCACACAAACTATGCTCCAACAGTTTTCTTCTTATATGTCGGACTAGATGCAACCTTGAATCGGTTAAAGCACGCATATTTTAACCGATCAGTGCTCATATGGCATTCATTGGATGCAGAGCTATAAACGCTGAATTCGATTTTTTTCCAACATAATAGTGGATCCATATCATTCTCCACTTCGGCAAGTCTATACAACTCCTGTGCGGTTTCTACGAGAGCGTTAAGGCCTTTGTTCCCACCAGCAACAGTGCGATAAGCTAGGGAGAGAGGGGAGAAAGAGAGAGGAGAGAGAGAGAGAGGAGAGAGAGAGAGAGAGAGAGAGAGAGAGAGAGAGAGAGAGAGAGAGAGAGAGAGAGAGAGAGAGAGAGAGGCCTATCTACCAGGCTCTTCTAACAAATATCATTGAAACTATGAAGAAGATGACGGCATACTCTGGAAGAAGAGGCGTGGCTGTGCGTGGAAGTCTCCGAGGAGATGTGGGTGACATCCATATAATCGTATGTTTCTCGTTGGAATGTATTCTCTAGGGTTATCTGGTTGCAGAGAGCAAAATGATATTGGCGGGACAAGCTTGAATGTACTTGATCGTGCAGCGAGCATGCACGAGATCGTTGAACTCATTGGCGGAACCAGCTTCAATGCTCGAAGAGAATAATATCTCATTCTATCATTGAATGCCTGAAAAAGTTCAGCAAAGCAAAATAATGTGTGAAGATTTTTGTAAGAAAACTATCACATTTGAACTGGCCTCTCTAATGAGCACAATATAACATTCTTTGATTGTGCCAAGTTTAATGGCTGCATTCCACGATTATTTTATTGCACATCTATTTTTTTACAACTAAATGTTACAGAAAACTGCTTTGATATACAAAGCTGTTATATACAATTCGTGAACAGAACAAAAATCAAGAAATGAATTGCAATTCTGAGAAGTACTCTCCATACTCATTGTTTGTTTTTGAAATTTACCACAAGAATTTAGTTTTTCAAACCCATGAAATTTTGGCCGCTGGAAAATTATAAGAGTCATTAATAAGAAATTGGGCAAAGTTTAGATGGCCACCGAATAAATTCTAGCCTATCTTGAAATAGGTAGAGTTGACATTTCAATTCGAGCCATCTAGCCACGTGTTAGTTTACCTAAGAGGAAACAACAATATAGATTGGCAACGACCAATAGATATCACATAGACCAAAATTGGCATGACCAAATTTTCTTTATTAGAAGGTTGTGCTCAACATTTTCTCTCAATTTCTATCATGTTGGTATGTTACATATTTTTTCAGATCTCCTATCCAAAGTTTGAGGGGATCGTTAGTTAGTTACCACATACAAAATAGCAACATAATGAGCTTTAGATCTTGTTCAAAATGGCTGCTTTGTACAAAGGTAATCTTCAGGGATTTTGAGAGTGCCAACTTGTAGTTAAGATAGGGTCAAAATTCCTCACCTCAATTCTCACCCTAGATTGGCCTTGGCCTAAAGTAGACTAGCCTTAGTCTACTGACACCAAGTAGACTCTTCCTACTACGTGGAAGACTTTTCTATTGAGTTATGGATCAATTCACATTGTTTTTAATATTTTTTATATATTAATACAAAATCATACCAAATTTCTTAACTAGACCATAACAAATATTATCAGATGAGATCAAATAGTATTGATTATTTCACTAGAGACCATAACAAATATCTTATTTTATTTCAAATTCTCATTTAGGATTTAACTATTTGGACTGTATGGATATCAAGGTAATAAAAATATGTGTGAGGTAAATCTATTATAATCTTACTTGTAAATCTTAATGGCTGAATTTTTTATATAAAATGGCTTCACCAATATAGACATGACCAATCAAACAAAGGTATTTGAATGAGAAGTCAACTAAAATATTTTTAAAAATTATGATTAAGGTATTAACTTGTTACTGATTTTATAAGATTAGCATTTTAATATATTTGCACATGAGCAAAACAATCTGGAGGTTTCACCATTCATACTAAAATATTTCTTATCTTAGAAAATATATGAAAAATATAAACATGTGAGAATTCAATGGAAAACTAACTCAATGATTTGAACCTTTATGATGGTTTTTCTACATTTTCTAGAATTTGTGTGTAGCTTATTCAAGCTTGATTAAATCTGATTGTTTGACCTGACAAGGGTCAAAGAGGACAATCTAACCTGCTTATTAAAGGATAATTTCACCCAAATTAGGGCAATGAAAAAAAACAGGATTTTCAGAAGACTATGTTATGTCAATGGATATTCCTCCTCTTTGCCAACTCTTCTCAAGTCTCTAGGATTTAAAAGCAAGATTTTCAAGGAAATTGTAAATATCATTTCAAGTTTCAAGCATTTTCTCATTTTGTCCTATATTTTGACAAGTACTTATTATGTGCTTGGTTAGTTGACAAGCACATGTGTTGTGCTTGGTTAGACAATACAACTTTTGTGAGGAGTTCTAGTATTTTTCAGTACATGTGGTGTGTGGAACTTAGACTGAGACTAACATTACACTTATGTCTATCTGAAGGCTATAAGAAGTATGACTTCTAGTGTAGATATATAGATTTGAAGACTCTATGGCATAAAAGAGAGTATGAGCCAATAAGTTTGTTGTAATCACAAGGTGTGGTTAATGAAAACCCCAGGTTAATTTGACTTGAGAAATGGACATAGGTCTTGCAAACTACTCTAGAAACTTTGTGTTGATCATAAAACTCACATCCTCTTTATAGATTATATGTGAGCCACCTTTAATCTAAGAGAAATAAGACAAATCAAAGAGATAAAAGAACCTTGTAATTAAAAAAAATGAAAAAAAATTCACCTCCCTCTTGATTTATCTAGTCATCAAGGGACCAAGTTTTTCTTCATTTAGAGATAATGCATTATCTCTCATCAAATCTAAGGGGAGGAAGTGAAAGGAGAATGACCCTGCTTCCCTTGCTATGCTCACATAAGACCTCACTTATCCTTCTCATTTATAGGGAAGAGTTCTCTTAAGACTTCCCTATCATCTTCTCTCCAAAAGTTCAACGATTTTGTACATGCTTGTTCATTTTTGCTCTCTTCAATTAGATAACCTTAGAGGATACATTGTCAAGAGAGAGATCTGATGGGATATAGACGTCACCCACATCTCCTTGGAGACCTTAACACAACTACCCTTCTTCTTCAAGAGTATATCATCATCTTCTTCACAATTTCAATGGTATATTGAGGTAGAGTTGTAAGTTCTTAAAAGGTTGTAGATAAATGTTTAACATAGAGGTTTTTCCTTGCCATTTTGTGCTTTCTTATTTGCAATATCTTCCTTCTCTTTTTTTCCTTCTTATTTTTTATAGTTTTTTGATATTAATAAAATCCTACTCTATTATGTTTGTTCGTAAGTGATTCGGATAATTGAATTCTCTATTGTTCAGTGGCAGATACCTCTAGTCATGTTATTATAATACATTTTTTTATGATTTTCGAATCAACACAAAACTAAGTAAACTCTAGTGTTGGTTCAAAAATTATTACACAATTCAATAATATATGACAATATATTGTCATGTTTTCTTACTAGCAAACTTTATGTGCCAATTCGTAATCTAAGTGTACATGTCATGAATTAAGATACCAACCTTCATATGTACCAACATATACGGAACATATTTCTCATGTACCAAAATATTAAGCTCCATATAGTGATTTTTTTATGTATTAGCTTTTCACTAAATAATTTGCTATCTTATCATGATTTTCATACACAAATAGCTTTAAAACTACCATGTGTGTTAGAGAAGAAAAACCTAAGCTTTGGTTTTTTCGACACATTTTGTGTAAGGAACTTATTCATCTTAATAATGTACATTTAATGATTCAATGGTACTAAAACCTTTGAAATAACACCCAAAAACTTATTAAGTACATTAGTATCACTTGTTCCATAATTATGTGATCTACCTTATTGTATCTAGGTTTCACCTAATTTATTGGTTTACAGTGTAACTCACCATATGTTGACATGAGTTTCACCTCATTGTTTTGTAACATAACTTTTTGTATGTCGATGTATTAATGTTGATTTTATTCTATTGATCTGCAATGCAACTCCTTGCATATATACATATAAACACATAATGTGTAATCTCCATGATAAATCAACTTATTTGCATATTTCTTATTACTTTGATTTCTGAATTTTTAATGAATTAAAGTATTATGTTTGGCATTCTAGTTTGTCATGTGTTGTAACTATTAATATATAACTATATTATTTGTTACATTAGGATTTTATATTATAAGAGTTGCAAAGTTTACACAATAGCTAATCTTTGATAGTTGATATATTAATGATTTAAACTGATGTGCCAGAAACTAGAAGATATCATTAGCATCATTTTTTTACGTATATAGTATTTGAAAAGCATTGCATTCATTATGTTTGGAAGGAATTTGTCTCAACTTTGACATGGTATCAGAGCTTTCTATCCGACTTGGACCTAACGTATGCGGAAGTGCCTCGCCGGATCTTCAATAAATCGGGAAGCGTGTCGTTTTCCCGATATCAGTACATCATTTTGTTCATATATCCCAAAGACGGCCTGCCATCTTCCTCCGGTGCCTCCCCCAAAAACCTGCTCCCTGCACAGAAGCCGAGCAGGCTCCTGCCCTCGGGTTGGCCCCGTGAATCTCCTAAAAGCCCCAGTCCGGAAGCAGTATCATTTGTTCTCTCTCACCTGGACGTGTCTGGAGCCGCTCTTATGATGGACAGGATGGTGTTGTGTGTGGGGTTCCTGGTTCTGATGGCGTCTTTCAGAGGCGGCGCTCGGGCTCAGAGCCCCTCCCCCGCTTCCTCTCCCCCAAAGAAGGCCCCAGCGGCTCCCCCGCCCCTCGCGGTGCCTCCCGAAAAGCCCTGCTCGAAGGTTATCCTCCAAAGCCTTGCCCCCTGCCTGAGCTACGTCACGACTCCTAAGGGCGGCCGGACGAAGCCATCCCCCGACTGCTGCGATAGTTTAAGGAAGTTCTTAGACGACCGACCCAAGTGCCTTTGTTTTCTCATCGACTCCAATTCGACCTTCCCCATCGCAGTCGACCGAGGGCAGGCCCTCAATCTCCCCAATGCCTGCAACGCGACCATCCCTCCGATCGACCGGTGCTTGCGTAAGTCCCTTCTTTTCCTTTTACTCCTTGTGCTCTTCATGATTCGTGCAGCACATTATGCATCGGTCAAAACGTTTCTACGAATCCCTATCGCTATTTTATTTCGTTTTCCAGGTCCCGGTCCTACCGCCCCGAGTCCCGCCCCCCCGCCGAGCAACGCTGCCAACCCAAGTCTCGTTCCCTCCGCCGCTGCTTTTCTCGCGGGCATCTCCCTCGCCATCGTCGCCGCCTTCCTCTGAGCTGGGCTCTACCACAAGAACGCTATCCAGGAAAACGAAAGAAACGGGTCCCTTCCTTCCACGGCATCCTGTAATTCGTCGGCTACATAAAAATGTCTGTCTTCTTGGAACGATTTCATCGAACTGAAACCAGGCGTCAGGACTTTAGTGGCGACGTATCGAGAATTAAATTGAGACGGATGAACGATGCAGGACGGTATTTGCCTCATAAATGATACCCCAGTCTCTACCTCCCAGCTGTCTCCGGCTAACGATTCTAAGGCGTTGATTTCGCCACCAATTATTTTGTTATTAATACGGAGATGGTGACCGTCTTGAAGCTGATAACATATACAAAATCAGTAACTCTAGAGAAAATGAAAACTTTAATGCTAAAATAAAGCAAATCTCTTTGTTGAATTTTTGACAGTAGCAATTTCAATGCATGAACCGGATTGCCTGAAGAGAATGTTATATCACGTTACCATTGAATGCATGAAATTAGTTCACAAAAGCAAAAGAATGCATGAACGCCATAGAGTATCAAATCGGGATGGCATCTCTAATGAACCCAAGAAAATATCACTAAATGATACAACGTACACATGGCTATAATATGTTTATACAACAGCATGTTGGATAAAACTAATTATACACACGATATTGTTATTTCTAATTAGTTACTAAAATGTGAACATACAAGAAATAAATTTAATGTTCTTGAAAAATAATAAAATGTTCTTGACGAGAACAAAGCAGATTGCTTGAAGAGAATATTATGCTTATTATTGACATTTTTGACATGTTCTCAATTTATTGTGAGAATTTAAATTTTCAAACCCATTAAATGTTAGTCGCTGGAAATTTTAAAATCACTTAAGACTAGTTGGTAGGAAATTAGGAAAACTTAAGCTGACCACAAAATAATTGCGTTTGGTAGACGATCGACCACAAAACTTAAGCTGGCCACAAGACTAGTTGGTAGACGATCGACCCGATTGCGTTTGCTTTCTCATCGACTCCAATTCGACCTTTCCCATCCCAGTCGACCGAGGAAAGGCCCTCAATCTCCCCAATGCCTGCAACGCGACCGTCCCTCCGATCGACCGGTGCTTGCGTAAGTCCCTTCTTTTCCTTTTACTCCTTGTGCTCTTCATGATTCGTGCAGCACATTATGCATCGGTCAAAACGTTTCTACGAATCCCTATCGCTATTTTATTTCGTTTTCCAGGTCCCGGTCCTACCGCCGTGAGTCCCGCCCCCCCGTCGAACAACGCTGCCAACCCAAGTCTCGTTCCCTCCGCCGCTGCTTTTCTCGCGGGCATCTCCCTCGCCATCGTCGCCGCCTTCCTCTGAGCTGGGCTCTACCACAAGAACGCTATCCAGGAAAACGAAAGAAACGGGTCCCTTCCTTCCACGGTATCCTGTAATTCGTCGGCTACATAAAAATGTCTGTCTTCTTGGAACGATTTCATCAAACTGAAACCAGGCGTCAGGACTTTAGTGGCGACGTATCGAGAATTAAATTGAGACGGATGAACGATGCAGGACGGTATTCGCCTCATAAATGATACCTCCGATCGACGGGTGCTTTGGAACCGCCTGGACTGAACTGACCTAGTTCTGCTAGATCCAAGCCGGCCCAGTTCTGTTACCCTCGAGCAGGCCCAGTTTCACCAGACCCAAGCCGAGCCAGTTGAGACCTGATCCAATCCAGACCAGCCAGTTCCGAGTCAACACAGACACGTCGGGCCCAATCAACTTATATCCATAAGCCGGTCAACGGTCTGACCCAGTCTGGGCCAGCCAGTGAGTCGGCCAAGATACATTGGCCCAAACCAGTTCGGGAACCGCAAGGTTTGAGCCGGATCAGACATGTCACTCCAAATAGGCCCGGATCTGTAAGATGAATCGCCTGACTTCGAAGTACCGAACGGCCGACTAACTTAACCAGTCAATGTGGTCAATTATCAATCAGTCGAGATTCAACATTCTAATCAATGGTCATCATTTTACTCGAGGATCAATCTTCTATTCAACGAGCAATGACACTGTTAAGGGTCCAGCTTCAACTTGCGCTCTTCTGCTATGCAGTCATCCATTTTGGCGGCAAGGTTATCCCTGGACATTACTTTTTTTTTCTGATTTGAGTATATAATTTATTTACTAATTATCTCTACCATTCTCGTTAAGTGATCTTTAGACAGGTCCGTTTATTAATATATGGTAAAGATTATGTGATAATCGTTTGATTTCCAACTAATTGACCTATAGTAAAGCACCCTAATCCTCAGTGATTTCTTAATCATGTCGATATAATCTATATATCAAATATTGTGGAAAATCGCTTGTCTTAGTCTCAGTCAACTTCTTTAGACACAGAGAGCCAATGTGAGAGTCTATCAGATTACTCGTTTAGGGTTAGTCCAGTCTTTTCTCATCTCCTTTTGCATCAGATCTTTGGCGTAATCAGAGACCAGGGTGCAAATTGACAAGGCCGTCTGGGGGGTACTGCAACACTCTCACTTCTTTTGCTGAAATCAACTTTCCTACGCATGCCCACACTACTCTCCCCTCACAATAGCACCCTCGTCTTTGTGGATTAGAGAAGGATTCCCTTGTTCCCTTCAGTTCATTTTTTCTCTCTCTGTCGTCGTCTCCTCCTATATTCAGACTCCCCATTGTGACTTTGGAGAGGTTTCTCCATGGGTGGATCTCTCTCAATTATGAAAAATAGACAAGGTGGCTAAGAAGCAGGCCTATGATAATGCAAAATACTATTTCATCATTGAATAATGACGGCAATAGATAACACGTCGACATATTTCTATGGAGATCAAATTGTTCGACAGCGTGACTTTATCGATAGTTGTACAATCTAGAAAGAGCAATTCAATGAAAGGCGCTTACCTTGCGGTCAGTTATCTGTATCTAAATAAGAAGCTTTGTAGCTATTCGATTCCAGTGTGAAATGTTCAAAACGTATAGATTTTGATCCAACAAGACTATCCTCCTTTTAAACTGTTTTGAAGCTAGTGCAAGCGTGAATATTTCCTGTACTAGGATATCATCATCAGGATGGGTATTTAAAATAAGGCTTGGAAATTCAGGCCAGAACTCAACACGAGCTAGTCCAGACTTGAGCATAGATTGGCTCCAAATCTTGTATCCTTCAGTAGTGACGGGGACTCCGAATACAGGACGAGATGACGACAGGGGGATAAAAATGAAATGAGGGGCACAAGCGAATCCTTCTCTAATTCACCGGGACGAGGGTCCAGTTGTGGGAGGAGAGGAGCGCGGGCATACGAAGGAGATCTGTTTTGGTGATCAAAGCGAGACTCTCGCAGCAGCCCCTGGACGACCTCGTCTACTGGCTCCCCGATTTCCGCTTACTCCAGAGATAGCTTAGCCTCGAGATCCCAGAGCAGTCGCCGGATCGGAAGATCGTAGTAGAGGCGGGGACGTGATCTGAGCCGGGCGACCGCTTGAGCCGCAGCATCGAGCTGGAGGATCATTACAAACAACTTGGTTGTGACCATCATGCTAAGGTGCTTCGCCAGCTCACTCCTTTGGCTACCACCGTCGTCCTATTCTCGGCAGACGGATGGGAGAGAGACACCGGAAATGACCAGCGTTGTCAAGGGGTGTCCGCATGTGGAAACTGGGGGAATCCTTGAGAAAAGAGAGAAGGGTTCCTGAGGGGAATCCTTGTGAGATTGACCATTGCAAACTGGTGCGTTTCAATTGGGCTTTGCCTACTATCACGGTCGTAAGGACCATGACCCCTTATTTATACACAAGAGGTGGTTTGCCTCTGTGTTTTTTTCTAATTTAGCCTATCATAAAATTAAAATAAAACCTGATCTCTACACATTTATATTTATGTTCATACTTACGAGAGAGAGGCTGTAATCTGAAATACTTAAACTGAAATAAATCACTTTAAGTAGGATTAACTAAATGATAACCCCATAAGATATAATTCATTTATAATTGTCTATATTAAGATTAATTTCAACATTACCAATTACTACAGTTGGGCTAATAATCATCGCCACGATGGACTTATTGAGTTTACCATACTCATCTACCCAATCAAGTCTACCACGCCTTTGCCACACGGCAATGCTTCGTGACAGCCTGTTGTTCTCTTTCTGATTAATTAATTGTTGTCACTAGAATCATCGATAATAGCTATAGTCTTGTATGGAATAATCTGACTTAAAGATGTATGTAGTAAAATGACAACCCATCTGGAGCCAATTGTTGCGTGGATATTTGGCAGATCACTACCTGATCTCTGGATGGGAGCTTCCATGAGAAATTAATGGGCATCTCAATCAAGGGGCAGTTAGTGTTAGGGAGTGTGGCAAATGGTAACTTCCGAAAATGCCCACCTTCTTGATTTAATATCCTTCTCGATTTAATATCAACAGAAATCTCAACCAACTGTCAATTAGTATGGAATTGTGTCTTGAATGCTGAAGGGTTCTAGAGTCAAACGTTAAATAAGGAGTCTACGGTAGCCGTTATGCGCACATAACGCGCTGTGAGCGTGACTTCCTATGAAATTGAGCATAGGGGCTATCCTCACCAGCCCTCTCGACCACTACTTTAAGGGGATGTGGGATCGGGGGCTTGGTGGTAGCGTAGAGGGGATATATTACTGACTAGAAGAGATGAAAGAAAGATAAGGAGGGCGGGATAGATAGAGAGGCATGAAGTGACGTTATTGAGCTTGCAGATTGGGTCACCGCTTTTGAGGAGCAGACTGGACACTGCCATAAGAATTTTTATTGACACGACTTAGCTTTGAAGGCCCAAGCCGGAAACACCCAGATGTTTATTCGTATAACTCGTCTCGACAAACAATCATGCGTGATGATCGGAAGATCTCAGTGGGAAGAGCTTCTTGCTGCACGGGGGCGAGGCGCCGGGTGGCGGTCCAACTGGCGTCGGGGCTGGGAGAAGAAATAGATAACATTACAAGGATCGATGAAAATGATGTAGCAGTTGCAAGACGATGAACAGAGGAAAGAAAAAGAAAGTAGAGGAAAAAAGGGACCCACTGAAGCACTGGTTGATCAAAGGGATCCTCGCCTTGCAGACACTGAAGAGCTTGAGGACCTTCCCCCCGTCGATACGGATGGGGAAGTTCTCTGGTTTGAAGTTGATGAGAAATCAGATGCATTTGGGTTGGTCTTTCAAGTACCTCTTTACACCCCTGCAGCACTCCTTGCTGGACTCCGTCTCGTTGCCCTGGGGATCCAGGTAGTCGATGCAGTTTAGAAGGTTATCCAAGAAAGCCGTGAAGCAGGGGTCATCAAGTGGACTGGGAGGCTCCGCGGGGTTGGAGGGAATCGTGGGCTGTTCCGTTGGCGGCCAGGTTAGGCCGTTGGAACTAGCCACGAGAAACACGAGCACCACAGGCAACTCCATCCGAGCCATCTTGAGAGCGGCCCCGGCGACGCTCTCCTCTCCTCCCTTGTTGACCCGGTCTGGTTGGGACGTTCCAGTCTTTGAGAACGGCGACGGCAGCCGATGGGCTGGGCTTTTAATAGCTTCACCGGACTAACCCGGGAAGCTGCGGGCCCGATTTTGGGAACGATTCCCACACTGGCTGCGGGATGGCGGCGTTGCAAGGCCGGAGGTCGTTCGCCACTTGAGACGGTAGTAAAGATCCCGCACCGGCTGATTCCCCAACTTGGAAAGGGAAGGAGCCCGTTTTCGTAGGACACGTCTCTGTCGACATCTCAACTTGCTTCAGGCTAGATTTATGAATCTAGAACCAAGTATCAACAGCATTTGAGCCGTTAGACTCGAAAATCTAGTAGAGGATATCTAACACCCAGCAATCACCTATTGTACCATATTTGGATAATGGAACTTGGAAAGACGTATCTCAAAATCGTAGTAAGATAAGAAAGCTGACTACTTATTAATTATGTATACCTTGTGCTAAACACTCAAATCATCCATGCTAAGTTGAATTTCTTATTACTTGCCTTGGAACTATTGGTATCAGATTAGTAAAAAAATCATTTATTCACATTCCCTCTTGATTACTTATCGTCCTTTTCTAAGATAGTGTAATATTATAATTTTTTAAATTTTATTTGGATGATTTTAATGAAAGATTGGCTGTAAGAGGATGCTAGTTGACTTGTAATTTATGATAAAATTTAACAATTATCTAAACCAAGAAATAAAAACTATCATAATTAAACATATTTAGGTAATTAAAAATACACTACTTTTATCATATAGTCTTACACATTGATGTTTATGAAAGCATAACTAAATGGCATCTTTAAAAATTGTTGCTTTCATGAATGAATCATGGACCTTACTGGTAAACCACCTCCACTTCCTTCATAAGACTTCATCCTAAGAACATAGTGGACATTTTAGTGAACTCACATTTAGTAGTAAATTGTGTCTTTAGTGTAGAAGGGATAGCCACTCTAACAAGGATTTCAATGGTGAAAAATACTCCAAAATTAATAAAAAGATGAGTTTTGAATCTCAGCATTGGGTAAGTGATAATAAGGTCATTCAAAAAAAATTGAAGACCGGGTCCTTGGTATTTAGGTTGGAGCCCACCAAACCTTCTAAGGTGCTAGATAGCCACAACACCATGAACCATTCATACAAAACTTTACTTTGTGTTAGATTTAAAGGTCCAAACCCAAGCGAAGAATTTTTTTGTCTGAGAGAAGATCAAGCATACTCAACTCATGGACAACCTTAGTGATGGCCTCCCTTGCACCAGCGTCAATTGGTCCATAAAACACAAACTAGAAGATGCCATACTCAATTTCCCCATGGATTATCTCATTGCAAGGTGGCAATTTTGAATAATACCTAAAGCTGCCGATTTCACTATTTCTCAATGTGACGGTTGGTGGTTCCTCTGGACTTTGACAGGAGATCTGGAAAAAGACGAAACATACCACCATGAGAGAAATTAACAAAAAAGTCTCATGCACAACCTTCTGCATTAAGAAATTTGAACCATGCCAATTGCAGTCTACGCTTCATGACTTGGTCCTCGCCACTCTCAATCAATGTTTCCTCATCCGTAAACTAACACGTAGCAAAATACTTAAAATAGAAATGGTAAATGCTCTACATATTTATAGACAAGTCGGAATGTATACGGTTGCCAAACTAAGTCTGCCTGATTCCATATCAAAGAGTGATTCTAAATTTTCCTGCTGCTATGACTGAAAAATTAAATTCTCACAGTAAATTGAAAACACTTCAAATTGTAGTGAATTTCCTGTTTCTGTAATCAAATTTTAGTTCAATAATTATAAATGATAACATCCTATGTATGAGGATTTGTAACATATTTTCTATAAAAATAGTGTGGCCATGTCTAATGCATACATGGAACTTTGCATAATTCAGATATATTTCTTTTGGTCCATTGGAGAGGGCATCCGAATGCGATATTTCTTAAAAAGATATTCGTCACTCATTATTTTTCTCTTGTGAACTAATTTCACGCATTCAATGTTAGAGAGTATTTTATCGCTCCCGGTGGGGACGATGGAGGGATCTGCCGCGGACTTCAGATCTTTCTAGGATAAGGATCTAACTGAGAAATGGCACCTAGGTGGAGGCGAGCCGCCGGGGAAGGGAGCCGGACTTCGGCATTTGGATTCAGCGGCGGTCGGAGCGGCGGCGCCGCAGGGACCTCCGTGTCGCCGCCGCTGCGGCTGGAGTTGGCCGGCCTCTTGGGGGGTTCTTCCGCGAGTGGGTGGCAGGGAGGCGCTATCGTGGCGGTCCCAGTTGATGCTGAAGGCCAGGAGGTACTTGCGCCTGCGAGTGTAGGCGTTCTGTGGCTTTGCGAGGTCCTTGGTCGAGGACGAGGAGACCTCCGTGCGGCTGGTGAATGATCTGGATTTCCCCGCGTAGAACTTGGAGATGCCGCGCCTGCAAGCTCAAGAAGGTCTTTGCTGTCGTGAATCGGCAACATCAACATCGAGAACCATGTTGTGAACGGGAGCCTTGCACGTGGCTCCCCCCCCCCCCCCCTATTGTGAGGTAATGCGGGATTTCCAGCATAACGCACGGTGCTGGCCAGTTTTGGCCAGCTAGTTATTTCTTACGGTTATTCCTTTCCCCCCTTTGTTTTCTTATTTAAAGAGGGCTGTAAGAGATTTTCAATAGCGAGAAAGTTTTCCTTGTTCCTCCTGCTGTTTTTCCTGTGACTCGTGAGGTGATCTCGCCGGCGACGTCTTAACTGCCGTCGTCTCTCCGGCGAGTTTCTGACAAGTGGTATCAGAGCTCCTAGGTTGCGGGCCGGGACTCGATCGCGGCAAGGTACAGCCGTTGGAATCGAGAACGCGCAATCGAGACGCGCTATGGCAGGAGGAAAGGACGGCGTGGTCCAGAGAGTGATTCGTGAGGTGAGCGCCGGGACCGAGTTCCCAATGCTCACCAAGACCAACTACTCCGACTGGGCACTGCTCATGAAGGTCAAGCTCAGAGCCCGGTTGCTCTGGACCGCCATTGAGAAAGGGGGCGTCGAACGCCACAAAGACATGCAGGCGCTCGACGCGCTCTGCAGCGCCGTGCCGCCGGAAATGTGGCCGGTGATCGCGAACAAGGAGACGGCCAAGGAGGCCTGGGAGGCTATCGCCACCATGCGGATCGGCGAGGACAGCGTAAAGAAGACGTCGGCTCAGAACTTGCGGCGGCAGTTCGACTCGGCGAAGTTCAAGGAGGGAGAGTCTGTTGAGGACTACGCGCTGCGTCTCAACAGCATGGCGTCGACTCTCACCACCCTCGGCGACAAGGTCAAAGAGACGCAGGTAGTGGAGAAGATAATCCGCAGTGTTCCCCAGCGTTTCAGGCAGATCGTGGTCGCGATCACGATGCTGCTCGACGTGTCGACGCTCACCGTCGCGGATTTGACGCGTCGGCTCAAGGCGGCGGAGGATGCCTTCGAGGAACCGCCATCGGCTATGCACCACGACGGCAAGCTGTACCTGACCGAGGAAGAGTGGGACGCACGGCGGAGGAAGCGTGATGCTGAGAAAACTGGTGGTGGAGGTAGCAGCAGCGTGACACACCGTGGCAGACGCGGGCGCGGGCGCGGGCGCGGGCGCGGGCGCGGGCGCGGCCGTGGCAGCGACAAGGGCTCGTCATCAGGCGGCCTGACGGGCAACTCAGGCCGGCCCAGCGGTGATGAGTGCAGGAGATGCGGGAAGCTGGGCCACTGGGCCCGCGAGTGCCGCTCGAAGCCCAAGAAAGAGCAGGCCCACGTCGTCCAGAATGAGGAGGAGACCTCGCTCCTTCTCGTGAAGTCAACGACGGCCATATCGACGGCGCCGCCACCAACCTCCACTCCACCACGTTTTGCTGCGACTCCGTAGGTAGAGGATCGGCTCCGGCGTGCAAGCCCACCGCCGCCGGGAGCAAAAGGGGTCCCCGTCAATGGAGGGACCGCCAAAGAAGAGAAGAAGCCTGGCGCCCAAACCCAGATCCATCTGCGGGAAGAGAAGGTGTTCGCCCACCTTGAAGAGGAGGAGCTGCGTGATGAGGAGGCGTGGGTCGTGGACACGGGTGCCACGAACCACATGTCGGGTTCCCGTACGGCTTTCACCAAGCTGGACACAGAGGTACTTGGGACGGTGCGGTTCGGCAACGACTCGGTGGCGCAGATCGAAGGCCGGGGGGCAATCGCGTTCCTGTGCAAGAACGGCGAGCACCGGTCCTTCGCGGGGGTGTATTACATTCCCTGACTGACGACGAACATCGTCAGCGTCGGCCAACTTGATGAGGCCGGGTACCATATCGACATCGAGAAGGGGGCGATGAAGATCCATGAGCCAGGTGGATGGCTCCTGGCGAAGGTCATGCGCGGAGAGAACCGGCTGTACATTCTCCACGCCAAGCTGGTTCGGCAGGTGTGCCTGGAGGTGCGGGCAGTCGCTTGGAAATGGCACGCGCGCCTCGGCCATGTCAACATGACCGCGCTGCGGAAGATGGCTCGGGAGGAGCTGGTGCGCGGGTTGCCGGCGGTTGGTCAGGTGGACCAGCTGTGTGAGGCGTGTCTCGCTGGCAAGCAGCAGCGGTCGCCGTTCCCCCAGCAGGGAGAGTACCGGGCGCGGCGTGTTCTGGAGCTGGTGCACAGCGACCTCTGTGGTCCGATTGCGCCGGAAACGTCAAAAGGCAGCAAGTATTCCGTGCTGCTCGTGGATGATCGAAGTAGGTACATGTGGGTGGCCATGCTGCATTCAAAGGACCGTGCTGCGGTGGCCATCAAGGAGATCAAGGCTCGGGCAGAAGGCGAGTCAGGACTGAAGCTGGGAGCGCTCCGTACTGATCGGGGCGGCGAATTCACCTCACATGAGTTCGCGGAGTACTGCGCGGGAGAAGGTATTCATCGTCAACACACGGCGCCATACAGCCCGCATCAGAATGGCATCGTCGAGCGCAGGAACGGCACGGTGGTAGCAACCGCGAGGAGCATGCTCAAGGCAAAGGGGCTGCTGGGCTGGTTTTGGGGTGAGGCAGTGGCAACTGCTGTATACATCCTGAACCGGTGTCCGACGAAGAGCGTGGACGGCATGACGCCTTTCGAGGTATGGCACGGGAAGAAGCCGGCGATGCACCATCTGAAGGTGTTCGGATGCATCGCCTACGTCCTGAACACGACACCGCATCCCAGGAAACTGGAGGACCGCGGCCACAAGATGATCTTCATCGGCTACGAGTGCGGATCAAAGGCCTACCGTGCCTACGATCCCACCACGAGGCGTGTCCATGTGACACGGGACGTGGTGTTCGACGAAAATGCCCACTGGGACTGGGGCAGCGGCGCGGAGCAAGGGGATGCGGGCAGCCACGACGACATGTTCACATTGGAGTATGCCGTCGGGAACCAGGTACCTCTGGAGCTCGATGGCGCCATCGAGGTACTTGATGATGATGCGCCGGGACCGGAGCCGATGTCGCCACCGTCCGTGCACTACAGTGGGGGAGCGGCGCCGATTGAAAATAGAGGAGAGGAGGTGGAGTTCGCCACTCCACCTAGTGTCCACATCGACCACCTGGATGTTAATCACGATGATGCGCCACTCCGGTTCCGCAAGATCGACAACATCGTTGGGCTGGCCTCGCCGCGTGGTCTCGCGTCGCGGGCGTTAATTGCAGAGGAGCTGCACGCTGTAAGTTCTGATGAGCCGGTCTCTTTTGCTGAAGCAGAGGGCCACCCGACCTGGAGGAAGGCTATGGAGGAGGAGATGGCGTCGATCGAGTAGAACCGCACCTGGTCCCTGGTAGACCTCCCACATGGTCGCCGGGCGATCGGGTTGAAGTGGGTGTACAAGGTGAAGCGGGATGAAAACAGAGCCGTGGCGAAGTACAAGGCGCGCCTGGTGGTGAAGTGCTATGCGCATCGCCAGGGGATCGACTACGACGAGGTGTTCGCACCTGTGGCGCGGCTGGACACGGTGCGCCTTCTCATTGCTCTCGCGGCGCACGAGGGGTGGGAGGTGCACCACATGGATGTCAAGTTGGCGTTCTTGAATGGCGATCTCAAGGAAGAGGTGTACGTGGAGCAGCCGGCCGGTTTCATCAGCACGGGCAACGAGCACAAGGTGTTTAAGCTGAAGAAGGCACTCTACGGCTTACATCAGGCGCCTAGGGCCTGGAACGCGAAGCTGGATGAAACGCTGCTGTCGTTCAGATTCAGGAGGAGTCCGTCGGAACATACCATCTACACCAGGCGGAACGGGGAGGCGTAGCTGGTGGTCGGGGTGTATGTCGATGACCTGGTGATCATCGGCGCCAGCTGCGACGACATCAAGCAGTTCAAAAAAGAGATGGCTGACGCATTCAAGATGAGCGACCTCGGCCTGCTTCGCTACTATCTTGGCATTGAAGTCAGGCAGAGCGCGGGGGGCACCTCAATCAGCCAAGGAGCCTACGCCACCAAGATTGGCCTCGTTGATGTTCGTGGTAAGTACAGCAAGACTCAGGAGGAGATTGTTGTGAACGGGAGCCTTGCACGTGGCTTCCCCCCCCCTATTGTGAGGTAATGCGGAATTTGGTGATGCGGGATTTCCTGCATAACGCACGGTACTGGCCAGTTTTAGCCAGCTAGTTATTTCTTACGGTTATTCCTTTCCCCCCTTTGTTTTCTTATTTAAAGAGGGCTGTAAGAGTTTTTCAATAGCGAGAAAGTTTTCCTTGTTCCTCCTGCTGTTTTTCCTGTGACTCGTGAGGTGATCTCGCCGGCGACGTCTTAACTGCCGTCGTCTCTCCGGCGAGTTTCTGACAAACCAGGACTCTGGAGCCACGGATCAACGCGAAAATGCCTCCAAAACCTGAGATGAACAACGACGACACGAGAGATCGGGGAGCTAATTGATGAGGCCGTCTGGGGGGTGGTGCGAGAGTCTCGCTTCGTCTGCTGAAACCGACATCCTAGGCATGCCTACATTCCTCTCATCTTACAATAGCACCCTCTTCTTGGTGAATTAAAGAACTTGCTCGTCACAATAGCACCCTCTTAATTGACGGAGACATTAACTCTTGTCCTCATTAGTATTTGGTTAAGCAAGGGGCATTCATTTTCTCCGTCTGTCGTCATCTCTTCCTATATTCAGACTCCCTATCGCGACTCTGGAGGGTCTCCCCTAGGGTGGATCCTTTCCAATTATGGAAAATCAACAAGGTGGCAAAGAAGCATGACCTATGATAATGCAAATGACGTCTCTTAAACGTTCAATGTAGATACTAGGAATATATATGACAAAAAATGTATGTTATTTGTCATTGACTAATGACGACAAGGGATCACACGTTGCCACATTTCTAAGGACATGAAAACTGTTTGATAGTGTAACCATATCATACTGATTCCATCTAGAAAGAGTTAATAAATGAAAGAAGCTTACCTTGCGGTCAATTATTTGTACCTAAATAAGAAGCTTTCGTAGCTATTCGAGGACGTATAGATTTTGATTCAACATCATCCTCCTTTTCAGATGATTTGAAGCTGGTGCGAGCGTGAATATTTACTGTACACAGTTATCTTCTTTAAACTTGAAATTTAAAATAAGGCTTCTAAAAATCATGCCAAAATTCAACACTAGCTAGTTCAAGCTTGAGCATAGTTTGTCTCCAAATCTTGTATCCTTCCTGGTAACACCCCCATTCTGGAGGGTGTTCCAAGGATGGAAGTCATAAGATGGATTTCGACGTCACAAGGTTTGAGTTGGATCCCAAATTTTCTTTAAGTGCAGTCACCCCAGGTTAGTCTTAAAATGTTCGATCAGGGTTATGTTCCATCCAAAATGGCCGTAGTGACCTGATTGGTTACATGAACTTGGTGGTGATTGATTAATCCAATTTTTTTTGTTGGCATGACCCTGTAGTTATAAATTAAAGAACCCTGCATAAAAATGTATCCACATTAATTAGACCGTGGATATTGGAAATGAGGCATTCATAAAAGTGTTAAGCAACCGACCAATGACGCTTATCGCTGGGTTTCTGGATTCAGAATGTTCGGCATGGAAGAAAGACAATTCCTCTTGGTTGGGCGAATGCTAATGTGTGTAAACAAAACAGGAGGACGACAAGGTCGCTTTTATACCATGTTAACTAAAGAGAGAGAGAGGGAAAGACGGAGACAAGAGAGGGAGAAAGGGAGGAAAGCCAGACATAGACAAGAACAAGCAAGTAACGAGGACCAAAAACATGTCTAGGCTAATAAATAACAGGAACCGGATCATAACAAGGCTAAAAAATAATGAGGACCAAAACCCGACAAGATTAGAACATACAAAGACTATATTTAACAATGTGTTATTGGTTGGTGGCGTATGAACAGTGCCCTTTGGGATGCACAACTGTGGTCAATCTCCTAATTATGAGGTAAGGAGTCTACTTTATATAGTCGCTTATAAAGAATACTCTATCAAGGGACCTTGTGCTGTAGTTTTAACGTTAGACCCTCATTCTATGATTATTTCCATAATGCCCTTGAATTTCTATAGAGGCTATTTCTTTAAAATGGATGATACGAACATTGTATATCTCGCTATATAAAGAGCGCTACAATTTTGAACCAAATCGATGCCATATTACATTGGTATTCGTTGCTTAAATTAAATTATTAGAATTATTTATGTATTAATTTTTAACTGACCAATTTAATTTTCTAATATGATTTTCATATAGTACCTTCGAAATGGCAGGCTCCACTATAGAAGGAAAATCTAAGCATCAGCTTTTCAGCATGCACTATGTCTTTTCTATCACAAACTAGAGGGAATTTATTAGACATAGTAGCATCCAAAAAATATCAACATTGATAGTCTTGTTGATACTGAAGCCTTGAAAGAACACCCAAAAGCTTATT